GAAACCACTATGTCGTAACTGTCGACGCTACGCGGAGAATGATTCAACAATGAAGTGTTTATCATAGGCTCTGGAGCATAGACACGGCGGGATCTCCTAAGTAGAGCACCGATCGTGTCAAAGTCCCTGCGCTCCCGTTCGCAAGGACGGAGCGGGCCGTCGTGGAAAAGGCGCCCAGGACTTCTATGAAGGGTCTGTGCATCTAGCCATGCAGTGGGCAATTGCGACGGCGGCGTGCCGTACCTTGGGCACTTCAAGTGCGCACGCGTCGTTACCAGACAAGGTCGAATTGTCGTGTGCACGATACGAGGTATCGCTGACCAGTAACGAGATAGAAAACTCGATTGGAGGTCAGACTATAGTATACGCGTGATGTATCGACGCTTGTGTTGGAAAGAGGTCACTCACGTCTGATGGCACTAAAAGGCGACGTATTTCTGTCAGGGCGTGTTCGGATCTTTGAGAACAATATAGGACTAAACGACAAGCGATTCTTTTCATATGAACGTAGCAGTAATATGAAAGGAATCACGCGTCGTTTAGACTTATTTTGTTGAGAGAGCCCTAGTTTTGTAATTTTATCTTCCAACTACCGTGAGTATGGCGTCCTATTGCATTTTCATACATTCGCTAAGACGCCTCCGATGTACGTAAGGAATATAACATGAGCGTGAATGGGAGAAGACAATAATTTCTATAGATAAGAATAGCAATATATTATATAGAAATCAAATACAACATAAAATCAAATTGGAATTGTGAATGTTTATAGTGTAGGAGATCAAACTTGTTTTCATATTTTGTGGATACAGGTCCAACGCTGCAGGAGGACAATTTTGGACAGTTAAGGGAAACTGTTACACTGGCTTTGTATTGCGCATCACGCAGTTGCGATTACACTATTGCACACCAGTACAAGGCACGGTTATGCTGACACCCACCGTAAAAGATTGGAAATCGAGCCCAGATTGCATTAGTTTTACAGCCCGACATTTCGCTCTGTATGCGTCGACCCGTATAGTGCACTAACACTCCCGGTTACCGATCCCCCATTTCATCACCTCCTTCTGAGCGCCTCGGTGGCTCCGAGGCAAAGCGCCGGCCTACAGGGTCCCCAGGTGGCGGGTTCGAATCCTTACCGAGAAATGCCCCGCAATCTGACAAAGGCTTATTGCGGAAAAGGCGCCTTGTAAACGAGGTTATGGTGGCACGGCAAAAGACCCGCAGGAGGTCTAAATTAATTTATCATCAGTCCTCCGCTGGGTCATACTCAGACTTGTACGATACTCATTACAATTAATCAAATTGCTTGTAATTGATTACTTTTTGAAATAATTCTTAATGATTTGATTATTTTTATTACAAGGTAATCCCGAAAGAACAATATAATTACCTTTTGAAACTGATAAAATTATTTGTAACCGTTAATCTTTTTTCCTCCCCTTTTTAATGGTACCCTTTGTTTCGAGAAGTGTTCCACCGAGAAATCCTCGACCCTGTCTCTGACAGGAGAATAGTCTACTAAAATCAATGGATTGAGAAGATAAGTAGCTTGTAATGCGGAGCGCTCGTTCGTGTGCTTCCTCCATAGGTGCTGTGATGACGTCAGAACGCCGAGCTCTTATTGGCTGCTTGAAAAATAATAGTGGGTAGAACTCAAAGCATGTAGCACTGAGGTCTACCCACTATCCTTCCAATCGAAACCAAACAGAGCTCGGTATCGTTCTGACGTGACCGCAACCTCTGCGCGAAAAGCAGATGACTTGCTCTCCGAGTTCAGTTAGTCAAATGTAATAAAGGACAGAACAAAATGCTTCTTTTCAAACCCGTAGAAAAATATGTCGCTTTGAAAATCTGAAGTAATGGGAAAGTTAACGACATTACTTTTTCAAGTAATGATCAATTACTGTTCCTGACAAGTAATCAAGTAGTGTAATACTTTTTAACCTAATTTAATTGTGACTGTATTCAATTACTTTTTTTTTAGCAAAGTGTACAATACTAGGCGTGCCAGGTCCCCTTCGATGGCTTCTGGGAACACTCGCCGTTTTTACGACAATGGTAAAAATATCTAACAATGGAGTTAACTAATATTGCACTAAAGGTGACGATAAAATAGCGCACTAATGGACTTCCAATGAATTACCCGAAAAATCTTAACAAAAACAAAAAAAAAAATGTATGCCCTGTCCCCAAATACGCAAACTGCAACTTAAAGTCGCATTGGCAAACACGTAAGCATCAGATTCGACTAAGCAACGTGGGTTGCGAAGCCTATAGGCTGCTTAGGGGACACACTTGACATGCCTGATGAGAAGTAGAAAGCTGCTTTAGGCCACCACTGGAGCCGACTACTATCATCGTAAGCATTGTGTTCTTCTCCTCAATATAGTTTGCAAAAAATAATTCTTGAAAGAACAACAAAGGCGCGTTTTAATCACGCCATGACGTAACCCTTGATTTTTAAAGATAGAAAAAAAAAGTGATTATTGCAAGAGCGATCGGTCATCTCCCCTCGAGATCCACGAGCCGGATACTTCGCACTTTGGGAGGAAATGTGAAGGCATAAATGTAACTAAGGAAGAAAAAAAAAAGCGAAAAATGCGACTAACATTGTTAATGTACAAAAGTGCTAGGGAACGATTGGGTTGGATCGGATGTCTTAGCTGTCCGTGGAATGAAAAATGTCGCCGTCGTTTTTGTGATTGAGCCAATTCGTTTCTTGCTATGCACGTATTCTGCGCACGTGTTCCTATAACTGAGACCGCAGAGTTGCAATTCGTGAGCGAAATGTCGCATCAAAGATCGTGTTACGATGAAAGAGGCCAGAACCTTTTTTCTTCTTCTTCTTCTTCTTTTTTTTTCTTTTTTTTTTTTTTGCGACGTGCTCCATAAATTAGTTTCATAACTCCTTCATTTGATGGCACGACCCGTGCCACTCAGCACTTGAAGAAATATAATTTTAACGTCATCGTCTCTGCATTTTTGTACACTGGCAACTTCATTTTTATAATTTATGCTTTCTTCTCGCGTACGGAAATGTTCTTAATTTTTTTTTTACGTAGATCGGACGGCTTGTTAGGTATAACGCTACTGGACGTACTACACGCCTACCTGACGTGCGAGGTCGTTAAAGTGCGGAGGTGTTTTCGATAGGACGTCGTTATTCTCAAGGTCCCTAGCAGCCAACACAATGGTTTATATTCTGCTTGTTTGGGATTTCCTTACTTCACACTTCTGTAAGTCTCGCGAAAAGTCGATTTCATTTTTGTTTTTTTCACTTCGTATTGGGAGCAAAACCAGCTCCCATCGGATAAAGATAGCTAATACAGCAGCCGTCGCGCCGTCAAGCTCAGGAAATGATAATAAACGAGTCAAGGACACGGTCCTTAACACGACACAGTTTTTTTTTTCTTTTTGTAGACCTTAATTTTATTTAACGTATACTTGTACGGGATTCTTTCTGAGTGTGCGCTTTGTGTGCCGCTCTCGACATAGTAAATAAGAAAATATGCCCACAGGCTGATGACTCAGAACTTCATATTGTAAAATAAGCAACTTTTGTTATTACAATTCCTCGTATCTTTGACAGCAACTAACGTTGGACGTGTTGTTTGCTAGCCGTGGCTCACAACCTATATGAAATATTTGACCCGGTGTCAGTCAGTGTCAATCAGCTGTTTTTTTTTTATTACAATGGTATCTAATTAAATGCCCTCCATACTAACTTTAATAAAACTAGATGATTCAAATTTCCTTCAGGTCCAAATTTTATGCGCTTTATAAGACGATGATGGACCAGCATTGCCGTTTACGCTCATCACACCTCCCTGCCTTGCTTTGACCTTCGAATTGTCTCGCCACCAGTCGCCGCCCTTCGGCTTCTCATCACTTTTCATTGAATATTTATGATCCTTTGAGTTTCGTAATATATTTGTTTTTAAATGTTCAGTCTATATTTTCATATTTTGGGTAGTTCCCTCTCTTCCTGTATTTCAAATCCAGTTCAGTCAGCGTTTAGCGAGGATCCAGATATAAATTCAATGCGTGTTTGTTATTTGTAACTACTATGTGTACAGATTTTATTAAACTTTTCTGTGTGCTTAATATTGTTATGTTCATAAACCCCTCAAGCGTTAATTCCATGCTTGAGTGTTTCAAATTCGTACATGAAGTACTTGGAGCTTTATATATAAATAGCTCGAGCAATATAACTTAATTCATCCGTTGGCCAACCTCATTTTATCACTCCACACATAGTGCAATATCTCTGACGAGATATTGCAGGATCATGGGCGAGCTAACCACCACTTGCTAAGCTGTCTGTTTCCTAGGCACCTAATGTTAAATATACTGGAAATATTAAAAGAAGAAAATCCGTTAAAACAATCACGCTTTTAAGACCGAACCAGTATAAAGGGGGAACGCTGGCTGATATACAATTTGGTTATTTTTTATTATTATTATTTCAGGTAAGATCATTAAACATAATTCCAGCTCTTTTAATGTCAAGCTTTTTATTTGAAGGAGACGACTCTACGCACTTACTTGAGTAAGACGAGATTGAAAACGCTCCTGGTTAAGCTTCAATACATAAAGTATTCGACTACTAAATTATTATTATTTAAAGCACCTAAAGGATCACACGTAAGGCGATTTAGGACTCCTATTCCGTGGACAACCAGACCTCAAAAAATTCATCTCAGGAACAAGCAACACCAGCTGTTGAGAAATATTGGGTAAGCGTTAGGTGAGCCCAAACTATAACCGAATCACCAGCAAATTGCAACAAACAAAACAAAACAAAAAACACGATCATTTTTTGTGTCCTTTGTGCTTTGCATAAACTTCCTACCTTGCAAATTACGTTTTTTTTTTCAATCTTCTCTTAAGTTGCTGATTTTGTGAAATGCTGCATTGAAGTGCTCTCACCGAACGTGCATGCCAAAACGTAGATCAGTTCAACAACTTTTCGCTTCCACCTCTGTCGTCTTTTGCAGTGATTACTGCGTCGGGGATATTACCTGCCAACTTGTTCGAGGGTTCCCTGAGCAACCTGGGCAGCTACGAGCAGTGTCTCCGTACAAAGATTCTGGGCCGAGAAGGCGATGTCGACCTTCAGGGCCAGTACTGCACTCTCTACTTCAGGGCCCCAGAACTGCTCGTGAACAGGACTATGGCGCAGTTCAACGCCATCGGAGAGATGAAGGTACGTACATATAAGCTCAAAATAGTTCAGCTCCGTTGATAACCTACAACCCGGTAGACGCTAATGAAAAAAAAAATAAAACGTATTTGAGCAGATAACTAAGTACTTCATGCTTGGAACAACTGAATAATATCTTTAAATCCAAAGCTTCTTTTTCCAGCTACTTTAATAGGCGAGGTTATGATTTCGACTTGTCGTGTTATTCTATTCGTATGTTTTAAAGGGCCCCTGAAAAGACAAAAACTGTTTTTTTAACAGTCTGGTAGGGACAGGCCTGTCAAAAAAAATGTACGCAAAAAAATATTTTAGAGTACTATAGACGGCAAGAGACATTCGAAATTCTGCGCGCAAAGACCATGACGTCACGGAGTGGTCATTCGTTCAACGAGATGGTAATTTCCTCTTTCCAACTCAAGAATATTGCTCTAAAATTATAGTTTTTTCCCCGTGAAGTTCTTTTTTGACAAGCGTGTCCCAACCAGGCTGTTAAAAAAAATTATTTTTTTCTTTTTGTTTTTTTTTAAATTAAATAAACATTTGTTTGCAATAGCATTATGGTTTTTCAATTTGTAATTCCTGTGCAAACCTGTTTTGTCTGATTATTTCTGATAGGCACGATTAAAGTCCAACTTATATACAAAGCTGATCTAAAAGCTGATCTAAAAGATTTGAAAGTAACTATCACAAGCATATTACAAAACGTAATATAATTATTTTTTGTAATTAACTCTCACTACTGACTTCTAACATCGCAGTAATATGTTGGTTACTAATTATTACTCGTGAAAGTAAATGACAAGTAATGTGGTCGGTTTAGTCCTCATGTTTAGGACTGTTATGTTGCACTTCACTTAAAGAATCGGGACAAGACTCTGTTCCTCGTGGCGTAAAAGGCATGTAACCTCTGTTTTGGGTTCGGCAGTATCGTCGCATTAAAAAGAATGTCTGGAAACCGACAGCTTAACTGTCGTTTCTGTGGTCACTGACAACTTAAAAACGCAAGGCGCGGCGAGCCCCGATCATCTAATTATTGGTCCTCAGCCAGTGAAAGGGCATGCGGCGTCCGCGTTCGGTTAGACGTTTATGTTCAGTTAGACGATCAGAGAGAACACGACCCCTAGCCGAACGCTGCGCCGTGGTCGTGTCCGATCTCTTGCCTACTTTGGCCTTCTTTAGCGACACAGAAAAATTCATCACTTAGGTTTTCTTATTTATGAGATGTTGGGGGGAGGAAGTAAATAAACACACGAGGTGCTCAAGGAGCAGACAAGCTTGCATGCCGTATAATTGAACGCTGTCTCGAAAGTATGAACATTTTTGTTCAAAAACTTTTGAGGTTTTTTTTTTTGTAGATTATTCACTGTCTTAAACCTGTTGAACAAGGAGCTTCCCTGCCCAAAACAGTTATACGTTTAGTTTTAGAACTCTGCCCAGTGTTTTCAAATCATGGTTTACACTGGTGGTTTGAAATCATGGCCGTTGAAGCTTTTAGTCACGGTTTTAATTCGTTTATTTCTATTTCAGTACAAAGATCTGAATGTTTCGCACGTTGTACTTTTTGTCTTGTGTTTTCAATTGAAGTACTTCTCTGTCTTATAAAGCGTTGTGCCACTCGAGCGAAAATATATAGGCGTGGCGGTTACGCTGTTTTTTTTTTTTTATGTTTTTGAAAGTAATATATGTATAACAAAAAAATGTTGATTTGGCTTGTTCCTCAGGGTCGTCGGAGTTTCCTGAGTTGGGAGAGGAATCCTCGAGGCTTCGCCAATTCAGATATCCGACTCGGCGTCTGCATTCCCTCTGGATGTTCGGAAGACGACATGAACTTCTTGGCAAACGCAGGTTAGTTCTAAAAAAAAGTATCAGGAAAAGAAAGAAGGTTAATCAGTTCTTTAAGATTATGCAGCGCGCGTCTGGTTGTTCTGAATTGGTCGTCGTGCCTAAAAAAACATCAAAACGAAAGCAAGACAAGAGATTCCTTACGTTGTTCTAGGTCACTTCACATCATATTTTAAGCATGCACTCTAAAAAATGTTTGTGCGTCTACTTTCGTGCACAACACTCGGAGAGCCAATCACCGAAACTTACGGAGGCAGCTCAGTGAATGGCAATGCCGAAACATATGTTTAGAGCAAACAACGCAGTCTGAGTTGTGACATTAAACAATGCAAGCGCGACGTTTTGCATTGCTTGATGTCACAACTCAGACTGCGTTGTTTGCTCTAAACATATGTTTCGGCATTGCCATTCGCTGAGCTGCCTCCGTAAGTTGCGGTGATTGGCTCTCCGAGTGTTGTACGGGAAAGCAGAGTAACGGGCTTTTTTTTGAGTGTGTGTGCAAATATTAAAAGAAGGGTGAGCGCGCAGGCGAGTTGGTGAAAAGTTGACATAACTTAACCTAAGACACGGAAGGAAAAGACATGAAAATAAGCGACAACACACAACGTCTCCGGAGAGGTTATGCGTTGTCCCTTCCTTTTATGTGTCTTTTACTTCCCTGTTTCAGGTTAAGTTATGTGCAAATATTGTTTCCTTAAGCTCTTAGGTAGGTGACTTTGTAGCAATATATCTCTTAAACATGAATGCTTAAATTCCAGATATTCTAAATAAAGCTCGTCGCGTATTAATTGAACTCTCGTTTTCAAGTTATGTAATATATCTATAAAGCACGCATCATAATTTTTATTAGAGAATTATGGCTCGTATATATTCCTTAGATATTTTATTTTTCTCTCTCGCGTGTGCTTTCAGTGCTGCGGGACTACGGCGCCAAGGCGACAGTCCAGGACTGCGGGGTCGAGACACCTTTCGCTATCTCGGAGTTGCAGATTGGAATCTTGTGGGTAACTTGTCATTAAATCGGACGTTACTTATAGTCGCTCGAACACTAAGAAGCCCAGGGCGTAGCAAATCCCGATCGTCTAAATATTGGTGCGCAGCCGATGAGATTACTAAGATTACGTAATTTGTCGATAATAACACCGATAAACAAATCACCAGGCAGGCAAGTTGAACATAATGCAGAGAGCACGTCGTCTGCTGCTTGCGCGTGAGTTGCGGTGACGTCATAACGACGCCGAGCTCTGATTGGCTTTAATTGGAAGGATTGTGGGTAGACCTTTATGCCAGCTGCCTTGAGGTCAACACACTATTTTTTTCAAACAGCCATTAAGATCCCGGCGTTCTGACATCATGATGATCACAACCTTAAGAACCGCAGAATCGTCTGCTTCTTGCACAGGGGTGCAAGAAGCAGACGAATCGATCAGCGCTTTGGATAGGCTCCACCCTGTGTTTCTTAAGTTGTTGTCAACTGCATCTCATTAAAGTTCAAGAGGTACAAAAACGGGCCCATTTTTACTGAATTCATGTTAGAAATACATGTGACATAATATTTCACATATATTTAATATTTTCTCATAAATTACCTTTGATACTATAATCTGCAATAGGGCCGAAAGTAGCAACGTCTACATTTTTTGGATACCTTCTATTAAACGAGCTTTTCTTTGTGTGTGTTTTGCACATCTTAGGTCGTAATATGTGTATTTGTATATTTGACCCACTCAATGTTGTTTTCAGTATAATCATTTTTGTTCGTCACTTAATAGAAAAATAAAGAGCAATAGACCGACCTCACCAGCCAGTTTGACTACGCCACCACTGCTGCAATGCATCGAGGGAACTTTAGTCTTTCTGCACATGCGGCAACCTCGCTGGATTTTTGCCCCATAGCCTCCTCTATACTCACAAAGATTGGCAGTTCGACGACGGAAACATAGAGTGCCCGGTCGGAGATTCGGAGCTCGAGGATCCGGTAGCTCAGAGCATCAAAGAGGCCTTTTTCGGAGAACCTGGACGTCAGCGCACAGCTTTTGAAGCGGCGAGGAGCCGAAACACACTTGTACGCTCGGGAGTGTGTTTTGGCGTCTCGCCTCAGCGTGTGTTTCGGCGTCTCGCCGCTACGGGGCGCCAGTTACGTGGCTCTCCTTTCATCCGTCGTCTGCCGCTCCACCTTTTCCATTTCGGCGTTCACTTGTCGTGAGGATTTGCCAGGTCTGCGCGTGTGGAGCACGAGGCAGCACGAGCCTAGTCGTGCACTGCAGTCGGCGTCATATGAGCTAATGTTGTGGCGGTGTGACGCATGTGCCGAACGATTAGTGAAATGGGTATATTAACAAAAGGAATGTAAAGGGTGTTGTGGTTGAAGATAATGGGAAGCAGCAGGTCAACTGCCGGCCACCATCTGTCCTGAAAGAGCTTGTATAGATTCAAGCACTAAACATTTATTGTACAGTTTGACCCGGATTCTGCGCACTCTAAGGAATGCCTGCGCGTCTACTTACCCGCAAAACACTCAAAGAGCCAATCTCGGCGATCTACGAAATCAGCTCAGCGAAAGATGAGGCGGAAAATCTGTTTAGACCTAAAAATCAAGTCTGCGGTGTGGCATTACGCAATGCAAAGCGTCATGCTTGCATTGCGTAAGGCAACAGCGTATACTTAATTTTTAGGTCTAAAGAGATGTTCCCTCTCATCATTTGCTGAGCTGATTTCGTAGAGCACAGAGATTGGCTCTTCGAGTGTTTTGCGAGTAAATAGACTCGCAGGCATTTCTTAGAGTGCAGCCTCAATATTATGTTTATTTATTTTCCCTCTGTGCGCGGTTTTAATGCACAGAGAAGGTGTATCTCAATAGGGCTAATGTTACTTCTTTCTTTGTTGATAATATAATATTTTTACACGTTTTTTTCACTTTTTTTTCTTTTCTTTTTTTTTGTGGTAGGTGTGCCCTTGGAGGATCTGTAGGGCTCGTGATCCTGGCGACCCTGGTAGAACTCTGCCTGATTTGCTGCTCCAAGCCAAAAGACCTAGAACCGAAACGCGAAGGTATTAGCTCTAATTTTTATATCCATATTACGTTCGTCCCCAGGCGGCCTTGGCCGTGGCCCTAACCACGCTGTGACATCCCATATGTCTTTTAGGTGTCCCTGTGAAGATCGTGAAATGCTTCTCCTTGGTTCACAACACAAAGAACCTGCTAAACATCGAGTCTAGCATTGACTGCCCCAAGAGGCCCGTCCGATTCGTCTACGGGGTGAAAGTCTTCATGGCCATGTGGATCATCCTCGGTCACAGCTATTACACAGCCAACTTCCAAACACTGCGTGAGTTATTCTGCCAGCTGCAGCCTTGACGGTTTCATTCAACCAAAACAAACTTTATTAAGAAAGGCAAATTTATCTTGTCAAAAGCATTTTTTTATTAGCAATGTGTATGATATGTACAGTAGCACTTGAGAGATGTGGTGTTCAAATCCAGCATATATTTCTAAGCAATAGTTCGTGCAACGTCATAGAATAATAAGAAAGTCGCGAATTTTTTTATGATGTAAAGATATACATTGAAAAATATGAGTGTTTCGAGTACATTAATTTTTAAGCCAGTTCGCAAAAATGGTTTCATTGTTGGTAATAGCGGTATATATACACTTTGCGGAAAGCCAACATATTGGTGAACGTAAAATAAAAAAATAAGCAAAATAAACGTTTGAAAGGATTTATATTTCACCAAATATCTAGATCCAAAACTGTGTACCCAAAGAAATAAATAATTCAAAGCACGGAACTAGTGTCCTTTAGCTGGTGAGCTTTTTGGTTGTGTCTTTTGTGAAAAAAAATAAATAAATAAATTCGTGTGCCCTTTTTGAAGATTTAAACCTTTATCATGAGATGGCGATGGTTCACACATGTCCAATACGTTTCTCGTTATTATGGGACACAGTTGAAGACATTCGTTTAATACATCAATATTTCCGATAACACGAAACATTCCTGATGACCCAGCATACTTCAGCATTTCGTATGCATATTGCTTTTCGCAGATACTGGGTTTCAGATTATGGATCTGTACAGTCAAGTTCATGCACAGCTGCTGGGCAGCGCGTTCTACGCCATCTCCACTTTCTTCTTCCTGAGCGGCTTTGTGTTGTCCTACTTCATGCGCCGGACAAAGGAAGATTCCATCAGTAGACCCTTCCTGGGCATCTACGTCTTCTCGGTCATCCGACGATACTTGAGGTACGGAACGTCTCAATGCAACCTCAAATGCTACAAACAAGAGAACAAACATTCTCTTATGATGGACTCGAACGCTATTCAAGTCCGTTTAAAAGTGGTATTTCGCCTGAAATAAGACTAAGCCAATGCGAACTGGCAGCTGTATATGTTGCTGAGGGTCATAGAAACACGTTCCTCGTGGCCTCTATAAGCCGCTCATTTTATGCAAGATTGGGAGTTTTTTTCTTTAATATTTGCATCCTTCGGCGTCGGTATGTAGGATGTTTTACGCTACTGTATAAATTAATGTCAAATTGCAGAGAAATGTAATGTTCAGTCATCCTGTCATCCTTAGCAGTACTTATGCAAACCCGTGTTGAATTCAAGACCCAGGAGCAACAGCAGCTTCACAAAACCTCAAGCGACCTTATTCCCGACGCAAGCTTCGCTCTGGATAGGAATTGCACTTAAGTAATTCTATAAACAATAGAGGGGAACCCCATGCTCTCCGTGCACGAGAGCAGTGCCGCCGCCGATTTCGTCTTCTCTTGCACTTCATAAGGTTCAGTTTGTTTGTTTGTTTTTCAACTATTATATAGTTATTCATTCATTCATTTGTTTTTCATTCATTCATTCATTTGTTTATTTTTTGTGCTCATGAACAGCTTGAAGCCTTGATAATGATGCACAGTTAACATACAGCAAAAAGAAGTATAATTCTACAAATTAACAATAGAAAACTTGAATGCTACAAAGATGGTTATAAATTTGTAAGAGAAAACTTGAACGCTGCAAAAGATAGGTTAAAAATGTCAATGCAATAATCATTAAAAGTATTATACAAGGTCTGAATACGTCTCATGGGGCAGGTTCGGAAGAATTCATTAACATAAAATGGAAGAGAAATTCGCAGAAATCTTCTCGAAACATGAATATTTATCGATGAAGTTAGGTCAGGGCAATCAATGACTCCGTGAAGGCATTTGAACAAAAATATAAGATCTCTCTCGCGTCGTCTGGCACTCAAAGTAGAACAATTGTATCGCTCTAAAAGTCTTCTATATTCAAAGTAAACGGTGCAACCAACATAGCGGTCGTAAAAAATTCGAAAAGCACTTCTCTAAACATTTTCAATCGACTCTTGGTGCGTACGTCCAATAGAATTCCACACAACTGAGGAAAACTCAAGCTTAGACCTAATTAATGAGAAGTATAACTGCATAATACAGGCCAACATGGAAAACTCGCGTGTAATTCTGGATATGACACCTAACGTACGAAAAGACGCGTTGACAATGTTATTGACATGTGTATTAAATGACAGAGAAGACTCTATATAAACTCCAAGATCACGAGTGCAATCCACCCTTCGCAATGGGGCATTGCCGAGTTGGTAACAAAAATGAAAAGGCCTTAGCTTCTTAGCAAATGACATAACAACAGTCTTAGTGGGATTAAGTGTCAGCCTGTTGAGACTACACCAATTGCTCACTGATTTTACATCATCCATTAGTTTTACACAGTCCTCTACAGATACTATCTGCTTAAATAACTTGATATCATCGGCGTATTGCAGGATTTCTGAATGTAGAACACATGAGCGAAGGTCGTTTATGAAAACATTAAAAAGAATCGGTCCAAGAATGGACCCCTGGGGAACATTAGACAGGGTGACAAAAGGCCGGGAGAGATGACCGAGGATACGTACAAATTTCTGTCTATCGGACAAATAATTGTGAAGCAATGCGCATAGTGTAGTACTCATACCGTACGATTTCAGCTTTTGTAAAAGTAGCGAGTTGTCAACCAAATCAAATGCCTTAGACATGTCAAAATATACAGTGTCAACTTGACCCCGCTGACGCACAATAGGCGAAACGAAATTAAGAAAAGACACCAAGTTTGATTCCACTGACCTTCCGCGCACAAATCCGTGTTGTGAGGGCAGGATCTTATGTTTAAAAAAGCTCGAAATATGTCCCGAAAGTACTAGTTCGTAAACCTTTGCAAATTGACATAATAATGAAATGGGTCTATGGTTTTTTGGATGATCTGTTCTTCCTTTCTTATGTATCGGCACGGTTATCGCGTTTTTCCAAATCGAAGGAAAAGTGCAAGTCGATAATGAAAGGTTAAAAATATGCGTTAGAATGGGCGTGAAAATGGAAGAGCATACTTTGACAATAAAGCTCGGGATACCGCCAAATGCGACCGATAACTTAGGTTTTAGTTTTTGGATTGCGAGTTTAATGTCAGCGATTTCAAATAATGGGATTGATAGGCACTCTCTAGCAGTGTCACCAACGTCAGGCGCAGATAAACCATTCCGGTTACAAGAATATACAGACGCAAAATAGCTCGCAAAAACGTTCGCTACATTTTCGGGTTCACTAATCGGAATTCCAGATGAGTCAGCGATGTTTGTTATCGATGCAGTTGTGGCTGTACGGTTCTTGACGTACCTCCAGAACTGCAATGGGTCACGATATAAACTGCGCTCTGCAGACTCATGGTGCACTCTCTTATCCTGCTGCAACAACGACTTTGCCTGAGCACGTGATTCGGAAAACTTGGCGTACCAGAACGCTGAGTCAGAAGCCTTATGTATTCACGTATAATCCCTAATCATGTACAAAAAAAAAGTATGGTGCATTTTGAATTGTTTATTTTAATCATCTACAGGAACTAGAATTTGTCGCGGCAAATTGTACTGTACATTGTGTACATTCGATGTTCAATTCTCTAATGTAACGCAACTAAAATGTTACTACATTTAAAAAAATTGCAGCACTGTTTTAATAGTAACGCTTCATTGGCTTGCTTATCCCGCAGGCTCACTGTTCCTGCGATGGTCGTGGTTCTGTGCTTTTTTCTCTTCCCACTGTTCATTGCTGGGCCTCAGGACAAGGACCTCATGGGCCAGGAGCAGAAAGGTTGCTACGAAAACTGGTGGACCGTCATGGCTCAGATTGTCAACTTTGTTCCTACAGAGAAAAGGGTAGGCATACAATACAATGTTTTAGCAAGGAAATTTTGATGTGCTCCAAACCTGCAACAGTACATATCTGAATACTCATTGAGCCGCAGTAGAGGAAACATTTTGTCCATTGACATTTGCCGCTAGCTCGAATCCATGAAGTCATATTCCACAATTGTCATCCTTGTAACCATGCAGATACGACACATGTAGAAATAGAAATAGACTAGTGTTGCACCCGGTCCTACGACTCTCGGTGTCAATGTTAATCACGTTCAAGCTTGGTGAGTTGTGACTGATAGTGATGTCAAATTTACTATTTCACTAGCGTTAGAACTCTAAATATTATTATTATTTTGGAACCCAGATATGCGTAAACTCCAACAAGTTCCTCAAGACTTGCTTTGTGGCTGTATCAACATATATTTTATTATGTGCAGTGTATGCAGCAGTACTGGTACATCAGCAGTGACATGCAGATATATCTGGTAGCAGTACCTCTGGCACTTATCTTCGTAAGGTAAGGTAGCACGAACATTTGTCATTTTCGTAGTTTACATCGTTTATGCCAACTTCAAGTTGTCGAATGCATTATGTGGCTGAATCCATGCTTTGTAGGAAAAAAGACATAGACCGAAATGTCCTCGTAGACAATATGTTGAAACAAGCGACACAGGGCAAACTTTTATTCGTATATAACTAACTACTTAAACTTAAACAAATGTGATGTCTTACCGCACACCGGAGCATATTGCAAACATAATTATGGCAAACGTCTAAGCTTTTTTCTACATTTTATTGTACTAAAGGTTTTATCTTATTTTTCTTCTAATGGGTCTCTGTGGTGGCGTATAATTGCGTATGCAACGAGGATGTGGTCAGTTCGTGCTCTAAATTTTACTCTTCATTTATTTCACCGCCGCGATACTTTTGTCCTTGCAAATATTTGTTATTATAAATATTAGTCGACGTTATATTGCGGATAATTTGGTTCCGTCGCATTTGAATCAAATTACGTTAGGTTCTCAAACTTTTAGTTATTATCTCAACTGCTAGTTCTAGATTCTGACGGAGCCTGATCTATTGCCGTTAATTAATTCATTTTTGCGGGGCGGAAAACGCGGTTAACTTTCCTCGGCCGATTCAATGCGTAAACCAGTTTCTGATTTGACATGGTTACAGGAGCCCGGCATGCGGCTTCTCCCTGGCACTTTTGTTAAGTGTTTTATGCTCCGTCGCTGCCGGACTCGTAACCTACATGAAGGATCTCAAGCCTGCCGTTGCCTACACAATCGATGACTTCAGGTAAGGCTCACCAAGCGTCTCAGCCCAATGCTGCGCTGCAGTTGTGCGCTTCTACAGATATCCGTATAGATGCCGAGGTAATCATTATTTCCACTATTGACGCTCTAGGTATTTGTATACAAAACTTATTATTTTACGTAATGTCAATTGTAAATAGATCTTCTGAGAACAAGTATATTAACTAAAATACGCTTTTCTTATGTTTAAATTGTACTCCATCATCCTCTGTTTAATGTACACATATACTAATTATTATCTGCTCGCAGTTTACCCACCCTCTAGGAATCCTGAAGCGATTACTTTTCCCGAGGAGCACTGAAGCCCTCAAACGCAGCAATCACTGCAATTAACGCAAACTGTTTTTTTTTTTTTTGTTGTTGTTTTTTTAGGTTTAAACGAATGTATTGCGTTGGGCCCTGATCGAGCTTTCTCCGTAGATTGCAGCGATTGACTTTCCGAAGTGATATGCGGGGAAAGTAGACCCTCCAGAATTCTTGTATGCATACGTACGCCAGCTGAACTTAGTCGTCTCCAATGCTAATGCGCTATCTATTTTCCTTTGGAATTTCTTTCTCCGCGGTTTTGTAGTAAAGGTTTTGCGCTATCGACGGACGTGTGTTTTACCATTTGACTAAGCAATAATGGAAATTACACTTTTTTTTCCTCAAATAGGAGCATTCGGTAGATCGTTCCGTCAACTCCAAAAATTATACTCCATACTTCGCCGGAGCCTTTGCGCGTACATCGTATGGTTATCAAACGATATTTTTTTAGAAAGAAAAAAAAAACACACAATCTGCTACAACTTTCTGTTGTCCAGATTTGGTCGGAGAGCAGTCGTGAGCATTTTAGTTTTTTTCGGTAGTTACAGTCAGTTACAGGTTATGAAAAGTATTCGTGGAAAAGGAGGGCTGGGGAGGAGGAAGCAAACGGAACGCTGGAGAGGAGAAAAGCAAACCTCTTCCTCTTCCCAGCGTTCCGTCTGTTTGCTCCTCCTCCTCAGCCTTCCTTTCCCTCGAGAACTATTCTTAACCTCTAACTGACTGTAGTCATTTGTATGTGCACGCTCCGCAGTCGGAATCTCGAGACGGCCGAGTTTGTGCACGAGCTGCCTTACTCGAACCTCGCCACCTATTTTCTGGGAGTAGTCTCCGGCTACTGCGCAGCAACGTGGAACAAGACGTGCATCAACAAGGTGGGTTCAATCCTCATTATACGATAAAACTTTGGTTAGGCCTAGTTGGTGTATATCGATTTAAAGGTTAAAAGGCACGAACTGAACAGGGCGAAAAAAGACACACGAACGGCACGGACAAGCGCCAACTATTAATAAACAAGGTTTATTAACAAGGAAATATTCGAAGCTTTCTGCCTACACACAGCGTCTGTCAGATGCGTAAGCATGTCATCCCTTTATCTGCTAAACAAAGAAGTTGTGTTTCTTGAGGGCTGCGTCGGATGAGTGGTGGAACCTTTATCTTGCTGCTTGTGTTTAGGCGATGGGGATTGACAGTTTGGCAATGTTTCGTGTTTCATTAAATCAGGTGGAAGTTGGCGCTTGTTTGTGTCGCACGTGTGTCTTTTTCCGTCCTGTTCAGCTCGCGCCTTTTAACCTTTTTAATTCATTGTACAGCCTGTACAGCGCGAGCATCTTATTATCGCTTCGCAACCGATTAGATTGGGGCATTATCTGATAAGAACGCCGAAAAACAAATCAAAAAGCACGAAGCGTGAACGTAACAGGCAATGCCTTGTTATTCTTAAGATCTCAGTGAATGTATAGGGTGCCCCTAGCAGACATTCTACTGTAAAACGAACCGGGAAAATTGGCGCCTGCAAATAGAAAGCTCACACTTTCCCTTAATTAGCCCTGAGCAACACGCACTGAAGTTGATAAATATAACGGCTACGGTTACGGTTAGGGCTCCCCTCTTTCGTTAAAATAGTTTCGTTCCGGTTTTGGGGGGTTTTGGGTTTGTATCATTTCGGTTACCGGTCAGCAGCCCGTCAAAACCGGGTTTTGTTGTTGTTGTTGTTGTTTTCGGTTCAAAATCTCGTTTAATAAGCTAACTTCTCTTTCTTCTTTCAGTTTGGTCGCATATCATCTTCACGAACACGCCTCGGAAGCGTTTAATACTGGAAATCGAGGCTGTATATAGGAAGTAAACCCTGATCCTCTGCTAGTTAAGCGTCTGAATGCTCACGTCTTCACCTAAACGACAAACTAAGTCAAGCTGTTTCCTTCATCGCCGTCACCACAACGTCCCTAAACGCTCGTCTTACCACTGTGGTCACAATTAAACTATTCGCGAACAGACTCTGCGTGTATGATGCGTGACAAAATCCTTTTAAACGTTTAACGTCCTGATGCTTCTATGAAATAGAGTTTGCAATAACGTTTATTCGCAGGACATTATACCGCAAAATATTAATTACATTTTAACATATGGGTACCAACCGTCTAAACCGAGTTCACTGAAATGAACTAATTTCACCTGGCCGACCGGGAAACCGAATTCGCTCAAGTGAATGGCGTCATTCGACGAAACATCCTGGACGAGGTTGTACGGCGCAGTATGATCACTATCAATTCTACGGCACGATATGGCTATGTTAAGTAACGAAGTATTTTGTTTGTAATAAGTAAGACTTGTTTTAAAAAAGTTTATCTTTCTATAGTGGCGTTGGCATTGCTTGTTTTTTTATCTGCCCACATTTGTGTCGGCATTTTTGGGCGCTTGCTGTACGCTTGCGCGGGCGCATGAACGGGAAGTCGTCTTCCGCCCCAGTGCGCGGGGGGCTTCGAGCAGCCGCGGGGCTTGGCAAAGACATGTCGGACCCCGGTCGTATTGGGTTTTAGTTTGGGGCGCCGGAACACCCGTGTCTCCGGCAGAGGTACTTTTGTCCGCACTTGTGGCTTTTAAGCGCGTGTGCTTGTGTCCGGTGTATTTCGCCGCTTAGTGTAGAAACTTCGCTTTTAATCGAAGCAATAACTTAACTGGGTGGCGCCAGCCAGGCGGCGAGGAAAGCATGTGGTGACTCCACAAAGAATTTGGGTTTGACCGTTGAGGTGTTGGAGGGGAGTCACGTTGACAGCTCGCTGATCATTGGGTTGGAGTGTACCACGTGACAATGAGCAAATTTGAAGTGATTAGTCTGTCTCTGGAGGGAAAGGAGGCCCCTCCGAGTCTAGAAAAGGGGTGCCGAGAGGTTTCTTGGGGATTCGACTTTTGAGATCAGGGAGATTCGGCTCTTGAGACTGGATACTAAAGTATGGGTTTTAATTTTGGAAGTTTTGTATATTACAGTTGACTTGTCGTTTTGCTTTAAAATAAACGTGGCCACACTAGCCATTATAAACCTACCAACGTCGTAATGTGTCCAGCGGGATCGAACAACTTTTAGTGTTTTTTTCTTATTCGACTTCTCGGGGGACTTCCATCGGGCGAACACCATCATCGATCGTCACCATCCTGACCGGCCCCCTCCCTCGGAAAGTCGACTGGTTATAATATTGTTCCAGATTCTTGACGCTATTACGGCGAGACACAGTCAGCTTTAAAGATTCACGCAATCCCTTAAATTGTACATGTTCATAGCGTTAACACATGTATAGCGGTGACATCTGAGCTTATGGTACATACGGTGATTCGCAGGTGCTCCAGGCATTCCTGTGGGTACTGGCCCTCGCCTTGAACATCTTCCTCGTGTTCGTGCCTTACGCCTGGAATCGATCTGACGCCGAAGATCTGAAACAGCTGTACGCTTCGTTCTACGGAGGCAGCTACCGGTACCTGTGGGGACTCTCGTGGTGCTGGATAGCTTACGCCTGCGCCACGGAAAGAGGAGGTACTACACGCTATGCCAACTCTTGCGCTGTCCTCACTATCCACTCAAATATCCCAAAAACGCACATCTCAGGCTATAGAACAATCAAGCTACATCGGTCAAAACTGCAGCGCCGAAAACTAAGATACTTGCATCAATCAGGCTAATCTAAATTCGAAAGAGAATCTCTTTGACGAACAACAAAGAGAAGTCTGATCCAGACTAATTTTCTCCTAAAGAAATGTTATGTTTCCTTCATAACGTATTTGAGGCGCTTTTGTAAAACGTTTTATGTGCATGCCGACCTTTCCCACGGGATGCTTTTTCGGGCTCCTTCAAGCTATCCTAAAGTAAGCATAGAATTAACAAATCACAAAAGATAATAAACAAAGAAGTGTTTGGCGTTTTCATTTGGGTACATATTGAATTTATTCCTTTTTTGCCCGCTCGTGTTTCATTTAGTCACAGCAAATGCTATAAAACAAATTGGGTTGTGGGCGTATTCATGCAGCGTGAATTTAGTCTGCCTCAACGGCCGACTTGTCTGTCAGCTGTAGATGAGCAATTTCGCCGGTGCAGTATAACCGCTAGCCTGGGGTCTTTTACGTGCACCACGTAGTAGTAATACACGACCGCACGCTCGTACTATGCTCATCTAGCTCGAAACGGTCAGGGGTGGGGATTGAACGTAAGACCGCTGGGTTCTGCAGCGCGAGCTTTCGCTCCACGTGCTTCGAGCTAGTGTGCGCTAGCCCACTCGGCCACCGATTCCCATGAAATACTAGGCTGCTTCTCGAGACAGCTTCTCTCCCTCTCAAAACAGCTCTGACCTTTTCGCGATCTCAAAACCTGTTGCATGACGGCGTATGGTGCTCTAAGTGTGATATGTGTGCCTGAGTTGGTTCGGTATAACCGTCGCCAACCCTGCCGACTGAGAGGGTCATGGTCGCCTGGTAGTCGAGCGGGATGAACGGTTCGTAGCGAGTTTAATTTTGTCTGCTAGCCCACTAAGGCCGGTGCCGTGTGAAATATAGGGACCAGCTTTTGCAGATTCCGCATACGTTAAGGTGATAGCTGGTGTGTTCAAATAGTAAGCACCCGAGGTAAATTTATGCGACTTGTAGATCTTCAATATCACGGCTCGCTGCAAAAGGATAGTAAAATAAAATAAAGGACACCAACTCCACACTAAAATAGAACGTGGTTTAGGGTTTCGGCCTTCAAGAGGGATTAAATTATCTGCTTCGTCGTATGTCAGTTAGAAATAGTTTTTCCGCATGCCAGTTCCAATGGTCTTAAGCTTCTCAAAACCAAAATCAATTGTTACCAAGAGATAACTTCGCTGTATTTAAGCAACTGTTATTGATCCCCATACGCATGTCATTTGTGTATTTGCATATTAAATTTGATCGCTTTTGCTCTATCTTTTGCAGGAATTCTATATAGTTTTCTCTCCTGGAGTCCATTCGTTGTCCTGGGCAGGCTTACGTTTGGAGTGTACCTGGCGCAATACGTGGTCTTCCTTGCCAGGTTAGGTGTCACCACGACCCCCTTGCAAGTGAACGAATTCTTACAGGTGAGTCGTTATCATTCCCCGCTATGGTGGTACCAGACTTCGTCACGACGTTTCCAAATATGTTGTAGTTATTAAAAAAACCTATTAAGTCACTTTCTAATAATTATTCTTTACCAAATGCTTCTTCTTGGGGCACATATTTTTCTTGTCAGAAAAATTTCTTCAAAAATAACTTTGCCCTTCATTGCTGCTTCATTTTACACTAATTTTGCATTACATCACCATATCAGCAGATTTTCTTTCTTATGTTCGCAGTGTTAATTACATATTTCTCGCCAGCACTGTAACCAGGCCTACATGCTCCGTAAATATTGGTTTTTTGTTTGCGGTTAACGAGCTGCCCCTACTCAAAAATGATTTGTAGAAAACTTTCTTGACATCGGGTGAAAAACTACTGGTGTCTAAGGGCTCTTAAAGGTGCCCTAAGGAGATTTCTGAGATCGCCTAAATATGGCGCTAACTCACTCTGTAGGCTCTAAGCATCCTAGAAATCCATATATCAAAACTATGCGCGGCCGATTTCCTTATTAAAAAAGCAATCAAAGATCGAAATTATCTCTGGCGGTGGGAGGAGCATTGTACCGGCAACCAGGACGGTCTGTGACCAATGAAACCGCGACATTTCGTTGAGATTGCAAACACTGTTAGTACAAAATCTGTATGCTTTTGTAGATTATAAACGCAAGTAAAAGTGGCTCAAAAATATTTTTTCGCCGGAGAAGGAATATAATACTTCAATAATCGTGTCAAAAACAGAAAATTGTGTTTTTTGTTGTAATTTTTTTGTTTCTTTGTTTGTTGTTGTTGTTGTTTTTGTTTGTTTGTTTTTTTGTTTTTGTTTTTTTGGGGGGGTGGAGGGGTGCGAGTGTGATGTCTCCGGTCTGTTAAGTTTCGAGACGTCGAGCGCGAACTCGCTGGGTTGAATCATAGTCCTGGTTGTACGGGCAATGAGCTGCGCGCATTCGAGGTATCACTCCACGGTTCCACCGGTCGTTGGCGCGAGGATTCTTCGCTTGCTATTGACTGACAGTGGTTCTGGTTTCGAAACATGCTCCTCCCATCGTTGAAGAAAAACTCGGTATGTTGTGATATTTGATTGTTTTTTTTTCTTAATAGGGATATCAGTCGCGTATCATTCTGATTTAGGCATTTCTAAGGTGCTTAGAGCCAACAGAGCGACTTATCGCCATATTTAGGCGATCTCAAAAACTTCCTCAAGGCACCTTTAATTTGTATAACTTCTTTATGGCCGCGTAAGCTTTTCTACCATTTTTACTCGTCGAAAAATTATCTCTTTTTTGTTTATTGTGTTCAGAAACAGTAATTAAGCATGCGTCTGTCAAGAATGTTGACTAGCTCGATACTGAATTAGGGTGTTCGTTCACCATGAAAATGTGGATGTTCGTCCACCACGAAGGTGAACGAACATCTGCGAAAAATGTCCATACGGTGATCAAGTTTCGTCAAGTTTGGACCGTCCTGGACGGATTTTCCGCTCGTTGGACACGTGTAGGTCACCGCAATGCTTTTAATTCAACAGAACTGATATTGTTGTGAACGCAATACTTTGGAAAAAAATAGTTCGCATGTCTGCATGTAGTTTTAGAGCTAAACAGATTTATTTTATATTAACGAATTAAAAGTTAGGGCGCAAACGAGCTGGTGAAGGTGAAGGTCTAAAATGGTATTTTATATATTTCTTTTTTGTTTTGCGGAGCTGGTGGTTTACACCATGAGCTTTCAAAAACGCGAAAGCTTAGGTCTAGAGGTCAAGTGCTTTATAGAACCAATAATATGTAAAGACAACATACAGAGCACTTGTTTCCTTCTCTACATTAAAAAGAAAACAGCTCTATTCACACATTTTAATTTTCTAACTAACCCCTGAACCTTTTGTTCATGTTCAGGTGAAAGACTCGCTGGGTGTGGCCGCCATCAGCTACTTCTTCGCTTACCTGTTATATGTGGTTTATGAAGCCCCCGTCAACGGCATCGCCCGGTTGATCTTCAGGTTCCACACCATACGGAGGTCTTCCAATAAGCCACAACCAATCCCCCCAGAATCCGACTCATCGCTGCCACCACCGGAGCCACCAACTCCTCCTCCGACGGAGCCCAAGGCCATCAACAATGGCCAAGAACCGTGATCGCAACGATGCATATTCTGGGGACTAAGAAGCGATAACCGTGCGGCAAAGAAACAAATGATAACGATTTGTGCGCGGGCTTCGCAAACGAAAGAGTCAAGTTGTGGCAATACATCAACTGCTTCTTGTCCAGGCTCTGCCAGCTCGAACAGTTCAGTGCTTCGGGCTCAAACGCTGTATGAGGCAAGAGCCTTGTAGACTCGTCAACACCAACGCAGTGAACGCGCGCGGTCTAAGTTAAGAACAGCTGCCAGGATGGCATACTTAATGTTTCATTCATCAACTGCGACATCAACTGGCGTGAAGAGTCATTCAAGCAAGGCACAGTGTCTCATCGAGGTTGATGAACCAACAAGGTGTATGCGCAGAAATAATTGTAGGTAGGTTCGCAGCTTTGTTCTTGTTCTCGGGCGAGTTTGGTGGGACCATGCATCAACGTGCGGAACAATAACAGCCGTTACAGCAGCAGCCATGCTGTGTGATTATGCTAGTGGCTCTTGAAGAAATCGGTTCACAATATGTTTCACACTCTTCCAAACAGATTTATGTTTCTCCGCAACATAAAATTGTCGTGTTTTTTTTTTTCTTTTTTTTTAATTAAGTTAGGGTTGTTATACACTGCTCTACGGGAAATAACTCTTGTTTTGTTTATTTTATTCGGCTGCTTGAAATAGCTCGTGCCTAATAACAAAACATTCTCCCTACTGTCCTCACACTTCGTATATCCTCAATGTTTGGGGTTCACTGCAGCGTCAGTGATCTTAAAATGTAACTCCTGACTGTAGGACAAACGCCGGCACGGCCATGAGCGTAACATTTGCGATATTTGTTATGAAAATGCATTATAAAATCCTACAGCACTTTTGTTTTTAAACAACTCACTTTGAATACTTGTTCAAATGTATGTTGGCTACGTAGCGAACCAGCAGGCCCACGCTTCAAACTGGATTCATCACTCACTCACTGGTGTGTGAACATGCTCAAGTGATCCATGGTCGACTCATCAACTTCACCGCAAAGTGGTTCTGAGCATGTGCCTGACTCTTAACAAGCGACCGAAATAGTGAATATTTGTTTCACTGGACGTTTGTGCGTTCACTAGGTTCGTTACCATGTGTGCTTTGTATTTTCATACTTTAACGCCTTGTTCTCTTTCAGATTTTATATGGAAATAGAAAAGTTGTTCATATTCCATGAAGAACCTTTTATACTCGTTTTGAAAGCATATGTTATTTATGGGTTAGTCTGCCAGATCGTGACTTGCGGATAGCATACAAAGGTCTGGCGCAACCGAGAGATACGTGTCAGGATCTAAGTCTTCGAGATTTCTGAAGAATTCTAATTGAGTGTGGCCGATCACTGCTCTCCACGACATCATCGGTGTTGTGAACAATATCGCATCCCTGCGAATACAGTCCAGATTCATGTATTTACCATATTTCCAAGCGCCAATATAATTTGTGTGTTTTGCGGCCAAAAATAAAGTATTCTACACACCAAGTCCCCTTCACTGTTTTCTTCTATCTGCTCTAAACGACAGCATTGGTTCTTTGTTTTTATTCATTTATTTACCACTACCCTCAGGGCCCCGATGGGCATTACAGAGGGGAGTGGTTGGTTAGACTTAGTACAATTCTGAATTTAGAGTCATTGGTGATGGTGACGATGTCATTGGGAAGGCCATTCCAGTTTACAATACTTTCTTGTAGAAGGGAATGTTGATGGGCTGTTGAAGTGGTCTTGGGGCGGGCAATCTTGCATGAATGATCAAGTCTTGCGGATATATAGCTGGGCTGGCTGAGGAGAGACTGTCTTAATGGTTCCGAATAGTAAATTTTATAAAAAAAGGCAAAGATGGGAAATTTTGCGACGAATGGAAAGATCAGTGAGAGTTAATTGACATTTCACTGCAGTGGCACTAGAAAAACGAGAGTAATTAGAAAGAATAAATCGAGCACCACAATTTTGGACAGACTCGATTGCGTTCGTTAAAGAAGACTGATATGGGTGCCAGATAGCTTAAGTATGCTCTAGTTTAGGGCGAACAAGCGTGACGTAAAGGAGACGTTTAAGGTTAGGAGGGGCAGACTTGAAATTGCGACGAATATAGCCACGTGAGCGGTTTGCAGATGATATTGTCTTGTTGACCTGAACATTTCAAGGCATGTTAGTGGCTAAATGAACATCAAGATACTTTTACTCTGTTGCAGTCTGAATGGTAGTGCCGTTGAGTGTTAATGAGTTTCACGGCTGAGAGGAAGATCGTGTGAAGCAGAGGTGCATGCATGTGTTAATGGTTAGACACATCTGCCATGTGCGGCACCATTCAGTAACTTTGTTAATTTCGTTCTGGGGTGCAAAATTATCGTCTGGGGTTTTTATTTGTCTATAAACAACACAGTCATCAGCGAAAACAGGAACAGAGGATGAGAGGCAAAAAGGGAGATCATTAATGTCGATTAAAAAGAGTAAAGGCCCAAGTACAGTTCCCTGTGGAAAACCGGAAGAGACGGGAGAAAGAGGAGGATGTGCTGTTAGCGAAAACGAATTGAGAGCGATGACTAAGGAATTATTCAATCGACTTAAGAACATGAGAATCTAGTTTTTATATTTTAAAACCTTGTAATTTTTTTTAATTTGAGAGAGATGGCAGAGGCAATGGTTATATTTATTTTAGTCTGAACAACAAGTTTTCAATAATATAAATATTCGAACTATTTCAAACCTCGTTTACTCTTTAAAAAAAATTGTTGTTCAGACCAAGGGTATTTTTTGCAGGTCAACCATTTGAGCTTTTTATTTCGGAGTTTGTATATTTTTGGCTAAATTATCGAGTAATTTAATTATACAACCAGCTCAAAGATACATAGAAGTTCAAACGTAGATATCTTATGATGCAGTGTAGAGGTTAAACATATAGTCACCAAGCAACCAAACATTATGGAATATAGAAAACAAGTTCACAGATTAAGGTGTTTCAGCGTGCTTTTTGCAACTATAGTGGGTGACAAGTTAAGAGCGCAGGAGAAGCCCCTCCTCTTTCGCGCGCTATCTACCTTCAATACATATTCACGCACGCGAGCCAAAGCTCGATGCAAAGAAACGAGCGCTTGCTGGAGGTGGATATTCTAATGCATTCTCAACCTGTCACCGAGTATGGTAGCTGGAGGAGCTGCTGTTTTGGCGTTGTGCAGTGTTTGTAGTTTGTAGCAATACATTCTTATATATTGTGGTGGAGGAAGAAGAAGTCAGTTCGTCAGAGACCGCCATCGTTCAGTCAACTATCACCCCATTAAATCAACCCTTCTCAAGTCTCACAGGTTGGTGGAGGTGCGAACAACTTCCTCACCTCTCGCTAACATCCTGGAGCTTCGCAGTGGCCGAACTGCGCGACTTACCATGCCCGAAGAAAATGGGAACGACACCGACCAACCCATCACGCAGCGGACCCCCCCTGCCATCACTGTGAAACACCGCCAGCGCGATCCTCCAACATTCTCAGGAACTTCAGATGAGGACGTCGATGACTGGCTTAAAAACTATGAACGGGTGAGTCACCACAACAACTGGGACGATTCCTTCAAACTGGCAAACGTCGTGTTCTTTCTGAAAGCCACGGCGCTCCGTTGGTTCGACAACCACGAGGACACCATAAACTCCTGGGATGGGTTCAAGGCCCCGTTTGCCGAAGCGTTCGGCAAACCAGAACATCGGAAACAGCAGGCCAGGGACCAATTGCTTCGACGCTACCAAATTAAAGACGAGTCCGCTACCGCTTACATCGAGGATGTTCTACGCCTCTGCCGGCGAGTAGACCCCCAGATGACCGAGGACGACAAGGTCCGTCATTTACTGAAAGGACTGTCATACGAGCTTTTTTCGATCGTCGCCCCGAAGTCCCCTGCAACCGTCACCATCCTTGTTGCGGAATGCAGAAAATATGAGGAACTCGACGGCGCACGAATTTTAAAACGCCCTTTTGACCGCCTTCCCGAAGTGGCCCACAGCATTCCAATGGACAACAGTCTTACTACCTTGATACGCACCATCATTCGCGAGGAGCTGCAAGAATTTAAGGCGCAGCTACGGACAGCTCACGATGGTCTGCAGTCCCACGGAGAACTCCAAAGTCTTCGAACTACAATCCAGAACGAGATGCGTGCTGCATTGCACCCCTTGACCACCACGTCACCTGCTTACTCGCCAGCGGCACCCGCAGTCACCTCGCTGTGCGCCTACCAGACGTTCCCCCCTACGCACCCGCCAGCTCAACGAAATCAACCGCGTCGCAGAACAGACATCTGGAGGACCGAGGACCAGCAACCTATATGCTACTATTGCCATACACCTGGCCACATCCTGCGCTACTGCCGTCGGCGGCTGCATGACGCTGGCTATCACCGTTCTACATTCGGCCGTACTCTCCGCACTGACGGTCCTGACGACAGCGCCGTATTTCCGGAAAGCCGAACCACCGACGGCCCCACGCTCCCTCGCCTCCCAACACGCCGTTCACCGACCTATGAAGACAACGACCGTCCCTCCACTCGCCGCTCCCAGAGTCCCGTCTTCACATCCCAAAGCCGCCGTGGCCGATCCTTGTCCCCGTATCCAATTCGTCGCCGCTCTATATCGCCCCTCAACGACGCCGCACCATCGACTTCGCCGCCGTCAAACTGAAGAGAGCAGCCTGCATCGACACCGGAGGTCAGGCTGCACTTACACGATACGCCGCAAATCCTCCTGCCGTAACACCGTCGACTATTACAGTGGAGATCGGAGGACACAAATTTAACGCGTTAGTCGACACCGGAGCTTCTAAGTCGTGTTTATCAGAGCGTGTTCGCTCTCACTTGCATCGGGTGCTCACACCTCCAACCGCCGGACACTTGCTGCGTATGGGAAACGGTGACCTTGTTCAACCGCTTGGTTATTGTACCCTTTCTATACGCATTGGTCAAAGTCATCACACCGTAATATTTACAGTGCTCACCAGCTGCATCGCCGATGTCATCCTGGGATGGGACTTTTTGTCGTCCGCTGACGCATTTATTAATTGTGCTAGCCGTGAACTTCACCTGACGGATTCTGACTGTGCCCACCCTCCCCTCAATTCGACTCTCGCTGTCCTCCAACTTGAAGAGGATTTGGTCCTACCACCGAAGACAGCCGTTGCAGCTGTCCTTATCCCAAGCAAGACTCTCGAAACATCATTCGGTCTTATCGAGCCACTTCCCACTACTTTTGTCCAAAAAGGTGTTCTAATTCCCTATTCTCTTGCATCAGTAACAAAAGGCAAACTTCATGTATGGATCACTAACGCCTCGTCCCAGCCCCAAATCCTTCCTCGTCATAGCCGTATTGCTAACTTTAACGCCCATACAGAAGACAATTTCACGGCGCTGTCTAACACAAGATTAAGTCCTGCTCCCACGATCTCCACCGATTTCTCTCAACAAATCGCAAGCATGATAGACTCGAACTTGGCGACACAAGAGCAGAGAACCTTAGCTCAACTCCTTACGCAGTACTGTCACACGTTTGACTTCGGCACAGATACACTGCCACGTACACCAATTGTACAGCATCACATTGACACTGGCGACTCACCACCCGTTCGGAGTAGACCATACAGGGTTGCCGCCGCTGAACGTCGAATCATTCAACAACAGATCGATGACATGCTTAAGAAAAACGTTATTGAGCCATCATCCAGCCCATGGTCCTCTCCGGTTGTACTAGTAAAAAAGAAAGACGGCTCCTGGCGCTTTTGTGTCGATTATCGCAAACTCAACAAAGTCACCCGAAAAGATGTCTATCCGCTACCCAGAATTGATGACACGCTCGATACTCTACAAGGCTCCTCTTATTTCTCATCAATGGACCTGCGCAGTGGCTATTGGCAAATTCCGCTTGCCGATACCGATAAACCCAAGACTGCTTTCATCACATCCCAAGGTCTTTATCAATTCACCGTAATGCCGTTCGGCCTTTGTAATGCGCCTGCGACCTTCGAGCGCACGATGGATTCCTTGCTGAGAGGACTCACGTGGAACATATGCTTGTGTTATCTTGATGATGTTGTCGTCTTTTCAACCACGTTCACCGACCACTTACAAAGGCTCCGCCAGGTCCTTGACTGCTTCCGTGCCGCTGGGTTGCAACTAAACTCCAAGAAGTGCACTTTTGGCGCCCGCGAAATTCGTGTTTTGGGCCATCTCGTTAATTCTGAGGGAGTACGCCCGGATCCTGAGAAAATACAGGCAGTATCCGAATTTCCAGTCCCGAAAAAAGTAAAAGATGTACAGATATTTCTGGGTCTATGCACATATTTTCGCAAGTTTATACGGGCTTTCTCAGATATTGCCGAACCACTTAACCAGCTGCTCCGTACTGGGGTTCCCTTCAACTGGACTCTGGCCCAGCAGGATTCTTTTGCCACACTCAAGAAAACTCTAACATCCGCTCCTATCCTCGGTCATTTCATTGAAGGTGCGGATACTGAAATAAGAACAGACGCCAGCGGCCATGGCATCGGGGCTGTCCTCGCTCAGGTCATCAACGACACGCAGCGCGTCATCGCATATGCAAGCCGCACTCTTACCAAGTCTGAAAGAAACTTTTCTACCACGGAAAAAGAGTGCTTGGCCGTCATTTGGGCAATCTCAAAGTTTCGGCCATACCTCTACGGCTCTTCTTTCCGGATAGTAACAGACCACCATGCACTATGCTGGTTAGCTACCCTCAAGGATCCCTCGGGACGACTTGGCCGATGGTCGTTGAAACTACAGGAATTCGATTTTACAGTTGTATACAAATCAGGCAGAAAACATCTCGATGCTGACAGTTTATCCCGATGTCCACTTCCTTCTAGCATACCTGGTCCGAAGCATTCCTTTACACTCGATATTACTGCCACGGCCACGCTAGATACCGTCAATATACACTCCTGTCAGCTGGAAGATGGTGCACTAAGACCACTAATTCTCTATCTTCAAGGAATCAGCACGCCTTCCACCACCCCGCGCATCAAGCGTCGCGCCCGGCTCTTCCAACTTCACAAAGGTGTCCTCTACAGAAGAAATTATGAGCCACAAGGACGACCTTGGCTACTCGTCATCCCCCGCCGTCTCCAAAAAGAAATCATTAAAGCAAATCACGATGACCCAACCTCTGGTCATCTGGGATTCGCCAAGACGTACTTCAGAACACGCACAAAATACTTCTGGAATGGTATGCACCGCTCAATTAACAAATATGTCAGGGCATGTCACCAGTGCCAAACGAAGAAAAAAACCTCGACCAAGCCTGCTGGAGTCCTGAGACCCATTCCACCGCCAAATCATCCCTTTGAACGCCTTGGTATCGATTTCTTAGGCCCTTTTCCCTGCTCGGCACAGAACCACCGATGGATAATAGTGGCCATCGATTACTTTACCCGATACGCTGAAACTAAAGCAGTGTCAGCCGCTACAGCTTCTGAAGTTGCTGACTTCTTCCTGCACTCCATCCTGCTACGGCACGGAGCCCCGCAAGCCATAATTACCGACCGTGGCACTCCTTTCGTCGCAAAAGTCCTCAATGAGCTTTGTGGCCTCACGAGCACTGTCCATCATATCACAAGCGCTTACCACCCTCAAACCAACGGCCTCGTCGAACGCCTAAATCATACATTGACCGACATGATCTCGATGTACATCGCAGAGGACCACGACAATTGGGACACAATTCTGCCCTACGTCACATACGCATACAACACTGGTCGCCAAGCTACCACCAATTATTCTCCATATTATCTCTTACACGCACGTGAACCTCTGTCAACGATGGACACCCTCTTGCCTTACCTTGATGACACATCCCTTGATAGTTACGCTGAAGATATATTATGTCGTGCGGAGGAAGCTCGCCAACTTTCGCGCATTTACACATTAAGGTGTCAGCAAGAGCAAGTTCTCCGCTATGCCGACACTCATACTCCGGTTGAGTACACAGTGGGTGAAGAGGTACTCTTATGGACACCGTCTCGAGTGCCAGGCAAGTGCGATAAGCTGCTCAAAAAGTTCAAGGGGCCATACCAAATACTTCGCCGAATCTCAGCGACCAACTACGAGGTCGCCCCGGTTTCCCCACACTCGGACCATCGCTCAAAACAAACTGACATCGTTCATGTTGCACGCCTCAAGCGTTACCACCGTCCTGCACCCTAACGCCGGATTCCGGCGCTTTCTGCACGGAGGAGTAACTGTGGTGGAGGAAGAAGAAGTCAGTTCGTCAGAGACCGCCATCGTTCAGTCAACTATCACCCCATTAAATCAACCCTTCTCAAGTCTCACAATATTGAGCGTTCAACTCATTCTGGAAACATATTCTCGCCTACACCACAAGCAGTATATTTATGCAAATACGCAGTGTTAGCATTACACAAATCTGATTTTTCTTGGAAACCTACCCTTCAGGTATGCGAGAGTTCATATATTAGGGCGTTTATGTCACCCTTAAAGTAGTCGCCAGTTGTCGCTTGACTACTCACAGGAAACAAATCCCAAAGTTGATCAAAATCCTCTTCCGCTCCTGGTAGCGGAACACACCCTCTACCGCAAAAAATCTGTGGCCATTAGGTTTAGTGAAAACTCTCCAAGTCGTACTTTGTATCTTTGTAATTTCTCGGTAGAACCGCGCTTTATTTTGTATTAAAAGTATATTAAATTAACAACAATTTATTTTAAATGAAACAAAACTACGATCCTAACGGTTTCGCCTCTCGCACACTTCTCTCGCTGTTTAGAAAAAAAGGCAAGACAAAAATCGTATTAATTTTTAGGGTGTCAATTCTAGGTAATAAACTCCACGCCAGATCCTCCAGTGTGCTTTTCACTTAATTTTTAATAATAATAATCCAATTTTGCTACACATCTTCACAACTTGCTTTGCGATTCGGGATTGGGGACACAATCGGCCCGGATTTTACCGTTCTCGACATCAGGGGCACGAATCGCGCTCGCTTTCGCCTCCACTCCCTCCTTTCTTCCGCCCAGCAAGATCTTCTCAATGTTGGCAGCGGGAGCCTCCGCGATCAGGTAGAGCAGGTAACCAAGCAGGTAGCTGAGCACGGCCACGCCCAGGAAGTCCTTGAACTGCGCGAGACAGGAAGCACGTGCGTCTTCGATGAACCGCCAACTATCCCGTCGGTTTGCGTATCGAGTAGCACATCTCGAGATAACGTTCAAAGTGGTAGGTGCTTCCGAGGTCACGATCGCATTCACTGTGCTAGTTCAGGACGATCAATTGTCACTTTCTTTTCTTTGTTATTTTTTTTTTCTTTTTTATGAGAAAACTTTTTAGAGTGATACGATCGTATACTTTCTCTGAGTCTGCTCGATGACAGGGTGGCATAGTATACGGAGGGCCTACTTTTATTTCTCTTTCGCCCACGGACAGGCCTCGAATGCGACATAATTTATTACGAATTGTCTTAACTCGCCGTTTGCTACTGCAGAAGCAGCGGCTTTGAACACCTGACTCGGCTGGCAGATTTTAATATTATTTTTATTTGCTAATATGGTTACCTGACGTCATATATAATAAATCAAGAGAGAGCACTGTTTGTTTTTTTCTCTCTTCGTGCAAACTATGACAAACTACAAAAACAGCAACAAACCAAAATCGGCTTAAATTCAAATCCACCTTCAGCGAAGCATTCACACAAATACTGAACAAAAATTACAGCATATTTAAGAACAGACACTTAAAACAAATATGAAATATCTTTTAGAATAATAAGTTTGTAAATGGTTAAAGCCAGACTGACCATCTTAAATCGTAAACTAGTCCTCTATGGGGTGTGAAAGAAAATTATCCCTAAAACTTTGCTTTAACTGGCGGGACTATTGTTGTTGCTGTTGCTCTTTCGTGGAAATCGGCTACATTATAAGCAGACAATTACCCTATGGATGCTAGACATTGCCATTACATTATTAAAGATAAAGTTAAGTGACTCCGTAAATACTTGTGTTTGCAGCAATATACATCATGCGGTGTGAGTAGGAATTTCCCTTTGTAATAAATTCTTGCGCATTGCCACTTGAAACCAACTAGCGGCTCACTGGGACAAACCTTTGTCAGCGAATCGATCGAAACTGAGTTATTAAAATACTGAGAAAAACCTTTTCCTTTGTGGGTTTCGTGGCAGCCATCTCTTTATGTTCTTTGATAAATACATTAAAACTAATGCACGTATAAAAAGGAAGCACTTAAAGAGTAACTCCGGTCAAAAGTCGAACCAAGATAAATGACTGATATCGATTCACGGAGACTAAATACGAGCACTGCCCAAATATTACACTAATAAAAAACCGCGATTCCTAAAACCGATATTAAAATTGTTACCCCCAGCTTTTTAGCGGACATTCAACGGGTTAGCAGTTTGTCAAGCAACCTTGTGCCCTGATGTCATCTTCGTTCTCAAGAAGATTACGCGTTTATACTGCCACTTCTTTCGCTGTTTTTCTGCTGCGCTTTCAGTCGTCCCAGCGGACAATTTCTGCTTGTTATGGCATTTTTTAGCGACTGTTGTTTGCAAGCGCTTCTCGGCGATCGCGCCAGAAGATTATTGACTCCTTGCTCGCTCATACTGCTAAGGTAGCATTCGTTTATACTGCGAAGGTGGCATTCACTGGCCGCAACAGCCCGTTCCTGCTCAGGCGGAGCTTACGATTAACTTCCACAACGCTTCTGCCACGTGCCTTTAAGACCACCAAGTTTGTAGTTCTCAGAAAGTAAGTTGGTACTCGTTCTGACCCTGAAGAAGAAGGACCATCCCCGTACGAGGACTGGACCCACCCCAGGCTCGAGCACCTGTGCAGCAATCACATTCTCGATTCCCTTATTAGTTTTGTCCGCTCACCAGGGGTCGCCTGTTACATTTAGCCTCTCCACCCTACTCTTCCCATAACCATCTTGCCCTGTCACGATTGGATTTCTTTATCAAGAGGTCGTGAAGTTTTAATTCCCTTAATGAATACGTTTTCTCACTCACTCCGGCGCTCAGCTTGCGTTTATCGTGGCGAACTTGCTTTTAGGCCTGCAACTTTATGAATGTTTATTATTATTTGCTATAGGTGCTTGATATCTACGAAAACAAAGCAGTAAAAGAGTCGTAGCATCTTATCTAACTGATCAACTGCTCATGCGACTACCAGTCGTACGTCTTGCGGTACCGTGGTACGAACTTTGGGTCACACGATGAACATGGAGCTGTTCACAAGGGTCGCCATCATCCTCGAGCCGGTGGTTTCAGTTTCGCCGTAGACCCCCGACGCAAGACTTCGAGATAAGACATTTTCAAAACTACGCAAGGCATCGGGGGGGGGGGGGGGGGGGGGGGGGGGGGGGGGTGAATGACACTGTGTTATTCAGGGACACTTCCTTCGCTAAAAACATCCGTAACCCTAAAATCGAGTAAATGAACCGGAGTTATCCTTTGCGCTTCTAGTGTACTTCTTATATTACAAATCCGACTTTTGGGTAGCAATTATGATTAGTGCAGCTTAGCAAACCACGAGTTCGGGAACATTTGGCCAACTTAATTTGCTTCGCGATTATTCCTCGAATTCAACTGGTCTTAAACGGTATCTCAACTTCAGCAAATAGGTTATCAAGATTGCCCAGGCTCCGAACTTCCTTTCAAACGTGTTGCAGACACCATTGTTAAGCTATCATGTGTTAAAACGGTTGACACCTCGATCGACAGTAGCTCGATAGTAATATGGGCGATAAATCTCAAAGAATACCTGCAAAAACTCGTGTAGTTGCAGAGGTACAGTAGAAACACCGGATCTTGCCAGGTACACGAGGTAGTGTATCAGATACACTGAGTAGGTTAACCGGCTGGGTACCACGAAAGCCCTCCAAGACAGAAAGCCGTTCACGATACCTGCGTGAGATGAGTCGGGACAAACGGCAGACCATCAGAAACAGTAGATGGTAATCAATACTATAATATATGCTTAACCCTTTTCAAAGGCGAAGCCACGCAGTTTAGCTGTCTCTTAAGTTCACGCTTCTCGTATCGAATGAGGTAGTTGCTCTTAAAAACTCAAATTTGCTTTTTAAGATTTTACGTGCGGCCTTCCTCCGTAATTCTTCTTACACGCTAACGAGGGGCCGCTATCCAGTGCTAGACGACGACGACTACCCAGAGAGTTTTAACCACCGCCGCACGAGAGTGATCAACGATGGCACGCACGCAACGCTCGCATTTAAGCGGTCCCTAACACTAACGAAAAAAACGAAATCAGTATTGGAGCGTGCTTCTAGAACCCGCTCACCGAAAAGCGGCTCGATTTTCGCCTGCGTGCGTAGCGACACCAGTATCTCAAATTGATCTGTTACTCGTGAATCGCTTTAGCCCTTTTGACGGCGAAGTGTAGACGTCGAAAAGCGACGGTAGCAGCGAACAATGCCCCTGAGTGTTTATACCCCGTCCGCCCCTAAGCCAACAGTGTGGTGGGAGGTACGCATCCGTCGGACCAATCAGCCGCCTCCTTTTCATCCCCTCCCGGCGCGTGGGTAAGGGGGATGAGCGTGATCCCGCGGTAACAGACAGACACGCGAATGGTCGAACGAGCAACGTAGCCTCCACTGCACTGTCGGCTTAGGGGCGAATGGAGTATAGGAAACGACGGGAGCCCCATACCGTTAGCCCGTCGACGTCACGAACCACCATTACGGGGAATTACGGTTGGGAGGGCAGTATTCGACGTCGCGCCTATGCGCGGCTTAGCGACTGGGCGTGACGGCGGTGCCCTTGCTTGCCTCCTCGGCCCGTAGCGCAGGCGAACGTGATCCAGAAGAGGGACAGCGCCCAGGCATCCTTGTGCAGCGGCGAGTACAACGCGGACCCGGTTCTCGACGGCAATTTCATGTTGTTCCAGGGCCAACTGCAGAACACCATGAACGTCATGCAGGCCAGCGAGACGGTCCACAGGAAACCTTGGATCGGCTGCGGAACAGAATTATCAACCAGCAAATTAAAGCTTTATTTTTATTTTTCTATTTTTTTTACGGGTATGGGGTTTGGTACCACAGCCATAAATCAGGGGCAGAGCGTCGTGAGATATGCAGGGCGTATAGCGCGCTACCGGGGATTTTCGTGATTTGCTCTAATGCTCGTATAATCGCCGCAAAGTCATGTATGAGAAGAATGTTTAGCCAACTATATCCATGTCGGTTCGTTCAACTTAACCTTATTTCACCGCTATCGGAGAGTAACATCGAAATGTAAAAGCCAGCGACCATTTCGGTTTTTCTTTGCTTTTCTTTTTTTTGCAAGTTAGTTACAAGTTGTTCAGCCCGCTTATAATAGTTAATAGGAGTTTTCATTTGTTTTGTTTCCTATCATAATTGAAGAAAGAAACGTCCAGCCAATGAATGACCCAACGTTTCGAGGCCCACTCGGCCTCTTCTTTTGAGGTGACCGTGGCGATGGTCGTTGAGGAACCCACGAAGAAGAGGCTGAGTACGCCACCAAACGTTCGGTCTCAAAATAAGGTCTAGTTGGTTGTCTCTTTTTTTAATTATTATTCTCCCAACCAGACATATTTCTAACGATTTGTTTACGTTCAGTTGCTTATTGAATGCCGTTTTCTTATCGCTGAAATGTTTACCAGTAGTGCACAGCCGATAACACAGACGGCAGCAGTCGTGCTGTACCTATGTACTATACTGAGTTCTTGCCTATGGCGCGATTGAAGACGGTGGATTAAAAATTGGAGCTGACTTCAAATTCATGTTTTCGTGACGATCTCGTGGCCTATTTTATCGTGGTCACTGACAGCTCAAGCAACGCAAGGAGGGGGTAGATTATTATGTTCAGGCTTCACGCTTAGTGATTAGTTCCTCGGCTTTAATATAATGCCGCGATGCCAAGGGATGTGGGGACATAATCAAATAGTCGGTGCTCGCCACTGCCTACGTTTTTTAGAGGTCCCGACGAAGCAATCCCTAGCAAATACTTAGCTGCATAAAGGCTGACGGCCCCATCTTTAGAGGACGCACAAACGCAAGGAACAAGTGAAATATGTTTTCACATCGTCCATGGCTGGACCGGCAGGGATTCTATTTGACCTACCTTCGCGATGTGGAGGCTCCCTCGATTCAACGTGAAGAGCCCACACAGTACGCCAATGAAGAATGAGCCAGCATGTACGAACGGCAAAGCGTATATTTTTTCTCCCGTCTCTGTAGATTTGCTGCAAAAAAAAAATGATTGTAAAAGACATTTAGTTTGACGCCAGTTAGGCCTGTTATGTAGCAAACGCAATATTTGTACTGGCCCTGTGAGGCAACTTACTCATAGTCTGGATTCCAGAACAGAATGAGCGGCTGATAATTGTTGACAAACGTTTGAACGAAGACAACGATAGCGCAAGCAACGCTCAATATAATTAGTAGGGCAACGCCCAACTTGACGTGTCTGTAATGAAAAGCAAACACGAGACAATCAAATTCAACTCCAACAATATTTGTTTTCTTTTTTTTTTTTTATTTCCGCGTTGCACCGTCCTGGGAAGTCTGAACTCCTGTGTTGTAAATTCGTGAGACGCGTTTGCGCCGTTCCTACATTTAGCCTTCGACGGGAATTTTTTTTTTTTTTATTATAGATTCTTTACAGCAAATATTTTAAAAGTGGCAATTGGTTTGCTGCAGATCTGTTGTTTTGTTTTTTTTTTGTTTTTTTTTTTTCGCCCCGTGACCCAGTCAGACAGAAAAAGTTTACCTGATAGCCCCGTAACCAAAGTAAATTGAATTTATTTTTCTAAATTTTATACAGTGGAAGTCAGTTTTTATGAACAAGTATCTTATAGCTCCGTTAAGAAGGGTCACTCTCATTAATAAGCAAGCCTAGTGACATAAAAAATGTATTAAATATCACGCGCGGAATAATGACAAATTGTACGAATACCAGTCGCCACAAGTCAGCTCATTTTGACACCAGCAAAAATATAAATACTGCCCAGTATCTTCAAAATTGTGGACAGCTATTTTGCTGCCTCTTTGACGGAATATGAAGGTCACTCTCCTAGTCACCTTACATCGATTGCAGCTCCAGATCATTCCGCGTCCACATAAACAATCCTTCATCCTGTTGATGTTACTTTCAAGATCGCTTACCTTGTCATTAAAACACAAATGACCACGGCCGTCGCGAACAGCTGCATGTCGGTGCTGATATACCAGTAATGATCCAAGCACTGCATTCAACAATAATTATAACAATCAGTCCAATTTTTTTGCAGTTAGCTAGCCATCATGCTTCGCTGTTGCATGTCTACTGCACTCACAATGTCTTCATATCTGTTGAAGTTGTTGATGTGAAGCAGCACTGTCCACCAGTTTCTGTAGCAACCATCGTAATACTTGGACAAAAGTTGTTGAGCAACTGGACCTTTTACAAAGCATGGCATCAGAAGCAATGCGAGTATGACAACCATAGCCGGTATTGTCGTTCTAAAAAAGAACAAAAAATGCGATGAAAATCACTTACAGGCTACTTATGACAGGCTGTAATAACACCCGATTTCCTAGTTGCCAAGCCAGTGCCAACTATATCACAACGTCAAGCACAAGGAAGCAGAAATACTACTAGCCCATACAGAAGCAGAATAAAAGCCGAAGTTCCAACCAAGCTTCTTAATTATATGATAATTATCAAAATACGTAACCACGCACCAATGTCTTTGTAGAACGTCGGCTGTTATTTTTTCACGTTTGTTTTTAATTCCTGTGTTTGTATGTTTTTTTCTCATATTGTAAAAGCTGGGGTAAGATACAAGTCAGACTCATTCAAAAAGAACGATGAATAGAATCACATTAAATATTACATGAAATTATGTAGTTTAAACTCACGCTTAGAGTCATTTAAGCGAAGCAAATAACGTGCAAAAAGGACTAATCTTCAACGAGACTGGGCCTAGTGCGAAGCTTTTCACACTCCTATGGCATCACCATGACCTGCTGGACCGCTGTGTGTTCAGAACATCGAAAATCGAAACATAAACCTTACCTGACAAATCTCCGTAGTATGGGGATGGCAACTTGAGGTAATGGACTTGTTTTTATAAGTGATTCTCGCCTCTTGAGCATTGTGTAGCTTAGCAGGAATCCGCTAGAAAGCGAGATCTGATTCATTTATTATACTCCCATATCTGAGCATAGGCCTGTTTCTCTCGACCAGGGGGCGCGAGCCCGTCCGTAAGACGCGACCATGTAATGACTGCATCGAACATAAAGCTGTTCTGCAGCGTTCGATCATGCACGAGCCACAATCATATACAAGTGTGTGCCAGCATCTGTCTATGCGCAGTAATAGATTGTCTGAAATAACAAAAAGAATGCTTAAATTATATTTAAAAAATACAGTTTTCGCTTTCAGTGTTCTGCCAGAGTCCTGCCAAATTGATAAAGAATGTTCTTGTAGCTTTTTCCTTCTTGTTAATTTTTTTCACAAATTTATATCTCGCCATAAAGTCTTGCCAGCTTATCGTCCTCAAGTACTGTGAAAAACCGTAATTACGGGCGCAACCGAAACTCGACCGAAAAAATATTAGACTTTGTTCGCCAGGGGCGCTGCCCAAACTCGAGAGCTGCAGGCCTATACTACTGGGACGCGCACGTGGTAGTAGTCACATTACAGACCTTACGAAAAAGAAAGTAGACACGCAGAGGAACCCGTTCGCAACCACTTGAAAGTGGAACGATTCTGTCGATTCAACTGCCCTAAAAACAGAATCTGCAATAAATGAAATATGTGAGGTCAGATATTTTATATGGACTCTGTCACCTAAGAAACCCGAGCGTCTCGTTTATAAATTCGCAGCCAATAACAATACCGAAAAATGAACCGCGCAGTAAAACCCATTGAACATTATAGGCTGCGTCCTGCATTTTTTATGCTACCAGTGACTCTATAATACATAGAACGCCGCAGACTTCTTAAAGCATATTTTCTAGAGAATAAAGGTAACAAGGCGTGAAGTTGGGCTAGTTGGCGCATTATGGAAATTTGAAAACAGCGCAAAATACACGAGGTACAAGAACGATAAGTGGACGAACACAACGCTGACTGACAACTGAAGCTGATTTTTGCAAAGAACAAAAAAGAAAACATAAAAGAAGCAAGATAGATAAAAGATAATCAACCCCCTTGAGGCACGCCTGCAAGCATTTAAATAAATTTGCCGAATTTCTCGATAAACGCAACTTCGTCATTCGCCAAAGCCACGGATGGGGCACTCACACACGAGTCTGCTTCGTAAGTAGCAATAAAAAAAATGCCTCGTCAATTCCTCTCGTCACTTTATTGTGGTGACGAGCTAGAATCTCAATTTCCGTGAAAACGTTCACTGTGATAGTTTCATGTGTTCTCCGGTTTTCACGGAAATTAAGATTCTGGCTCGTCACCACGACAAAGTGACGAGAAAAATTGACGAGGCGTTTTTTATTGCTACCTACGGAGCGGACACGTGTGTGAGTGCCCCGTCCGTGGCTTTGGCGAATGACGAAGTGGCTTTTATAAAGAAATTCGGCAAATTTGTTTAAATGTCTGCAGGCGTGCCTCAAGGGGATTAGTTATATTTTATCTATCATACTTCTTTTACGTATTCGTTTCTGTTCCTTGGAGGAATAAACTTCAGTTGCCAGTCAGCGTTGTGTTCGTTCACTTCTATTTGCTCTATTGCTATAATTGCTCTATTTTATTAATTTTTTGTATCTTGTTTCATAATAGAACAAGTTATCGGGGCTTCGAACATCGTGATATTTTCGAATTCTCAGTCTTTGTCATCTTTCTTCCCTTACTCTACAGCACTTATCAGAATAATATGGAAAAAGCGTATGCGCAACCATCAATAATCGCGATAACAATGTGCCGAAACGGTGACATCGGACGCCTTCAAGTATGTTCAGCAGCTACACAGGCCATCATCTGGCGTGTCTGCGATCCATGGCTGCATAGAGTTGTATACCTAATTCTAATATTTTTTGGTGAAAGGCAAATTTTTTTTTTTTTCTTGCTGGAACCATGACGCTCATTTTCATGATTGTTCGCAACTCTTTGTCCGTTTTTATTGACCAAACTCTTGCACAGTTTCAAATAAGGGTAAGGGGCGTGATTAGCCAATTGACAATAAGACCAAATGAAGTGTCGAAATACGAAGCATTGATGATGACAGTATATACTATAAGAGATTCCGATGATTTCTCGGGGTCGAACCACCGTATTGCCAAAGGAGACAGTTACTCGGTCGCATATCCCGTTTGAAAAACATTCATCGAGACATTAATAGAAGCCGCTATTGAAGCCACATTGAATTAGAAAAGGAAAACATTGATAAGTATAAATATTCATTCTTTCCCAGAACAATATCAGGTCTGCATTCTCTGCCCCAAGATATAGTAGACGGCGACAATGTAGACGAGTTTGAAAAGTGTTTATACCAACTGAATATATCACGGGCCCTTTCATCATCGTACGTGTTAAACAAAGTCTACGAAGCAGTTCAAAGACAAAATCTTCGTATACTTTGTTTCCTTAGATTAAGTGCGGTTCATAAACCTGCATATTTTCAATTATGGCCAACTGGATGTAAAATATTAGCTAACCATGCGAATATTTTATTTGGGTACCTACAGAATGTTTTCCTTTTCTCGTTTTCTAAGCTTCACAGATTTCTTTAAAAAAAAGCCGTAAAAGTTACACTTCTGCGGTGTGTGCAGGTGAGTTATACGGCCTAAGGGACAGAGTAAAAAGGGGTAATTGTAACAATCAGTCGGTTCATTAAGTAAAATTTGTTAATTAACTTTTTAATTAGTGAAAATAGACATATGGTTCCAGTTAGAAACTTGCTGAGCGTCATCGAAAACCACTAAATCAGTAACTTTCAGAGAGACTGTGCGCATGAGAAGCGTAGTAGTGCGCTAAAGTTACCACCCGTGCAGCAGGAGCAAGGCTACCGGCGCGATATGGCGCCCACGCGATTTTCCCGTCTCTTATCGTAGCTCCAGCCTTGTGATACCTGTTGCACGAGTGGTACATTTAGCGCACTACTATGCTTCCCACGCGCTCAAAGTATTTCTGAAAATTATTGATTTAGTGGTTTCGGGAGACGCTCAGCAAGTTTCTAATTGGAACCATGTCTATTTTAAATAATTAAAAGTTAATTAACAAATTGTATTTAATTACCCGACGGATCGTTACAATTAAGCCCATTTACTATGTCTCCCTGGTCATATAACTCATCTGCACAAATCGCATGGTGTAGTTTTTACGGCTTTTTTAAACAAATCTGCTAAGCATAAAAACAAACAAAAAAACTGTATATTGGCAAACGTCTTGTAAAACGATAGATTTTACGCTTGCATGTCCAGGCTTGCCTATTGCATTTGTTATTTATCTATAAGCGTATGTGGAGCTTGGTCTCGCGTTATTGTATTAGTTTTTTTTTTGTTTTTTTTGTGTTTTTTGATCGTACAACGTGTTCGAAAGTCTATTTTTTTTTTTATTCATCTGTTGCTTTACTCTACTGTAACAGCCCCAAAAGGGCTGATAGAATAAATAAATTAATAGCTGCCAGCGACTTTTATCTTCGAAGTCCTATAAGGCATGGAAGCAGCATCTAAGACGTCACAGGATATGACACCACGTGACGTTCTACTATCACGTGACACCGGGATCTGACACCATGTCATCACGGTGTCACGTGACCCGATGTCATGTGACATCAGGCCACGTGACGTCAATTTTCCCGCTTAGCGGGAAAACCGACGTCACGACGTCAAGTCGTGATGCCAAATGCACGGACGGACGGACGGACAAACGAACACATTTCTAGGATTAGGCCGTATCACGTTTAGAGCATCCCATGCTTTAAAAATAAAAGGCTAGATTTTCTGCTCTCAGCCAAGCCTTTCGGGACTCACCGATGGCATCGGGTTGTATGCAGTAGTAGGCGTGCGCCATGACCACCCAGAGAACGCTCAGGCACTTGACGCCGTGAAGAAAGCGGAGTCTTTTGCTGTCGGAGCTGGGTGTGCTCAGGTCGAGCAGCTTCTTCGTGTTCGACACGGCTGAGTAACTCACCAGGGCTCTCTTCCAAACCGGAACTCGTCTTTTGGTGCCCTCAATCGAAAACGACTTTAAGATGAGCTCAGTGATTGTACTCAGTACAACAATGCCGACCATGGTAGAAAAAAAGATTCTGGAAACGACGAAGTGAAAAAGAAATTCCTTTAGACTCCTAAGAACAAAATAGAAATTTCAATAATTCACCCCGCGTAATAATTCGCCTCTCTTATACAGCCCGTCAAATGCATGCAATGAAGGTGCGTGTAGCAGTTTTTTTCCTACAACAGACAGCTTTAGTGAATTCTTTGAGTAACTCCGATAACGATAGACGATACTCTGTAATGCCTTTGCGCATGCATCGGATCATAAGACAGCTTTAGTGGACCGCGCGCAAGTAAATTGCGCGTCGGGAGTGCGCATGTGCAGAATGCAATATACTTCGTCTCACCTTAGCATGGACTAACTGCGAAGGCTGTCCAAGCGCGAGCGGTTAGCCTAACTGCCTTGACTGGAGCACCCGCTGCACGAGCGCTCGTGCAGCTTCATCCAAAGCAACTAGCTCGCGCTTTTAGCATGCACGGCTAACAATAGTTCATGTTAAGGTGAGACGAAGTATAGCCCACGCGCTACTTCTAAGTTCCGTAGACCAACGATAATGGTGATGATGATGACTCGTGGGTATGTCTTCGTTTTGTTTGTTTTTTATTTGGTTGCGAGCGCCACCATGCGCCCCACAGCAGCAGTCTCTACCGACGAATGCAATAGCCTGAGGAGCGCACCCAGCGCGCGAAAAATCTCGGAGGTCATGCGTACGCACACAACGCTGAGGATTTTACGTTGCGGGCTATCGGACTTTGCGGAGCCCTTGCCTCAAGCTCTCGAAAGACGTCGGCCGAGAGAAAGCCCCAGTTGAGCTCGACTGGCGCAGCCTGTACGACGTAGAGATCGCGATAGTGAAAAGGTTCACCGATCGCAATGTGCGTGAACGCTGCGATCTGTTCACTACTAAAGGCGCGTTCTAACCGGCGATGTGCAGCACTCGAGCAATAACTTGCATCGCAAAAGCGACCATCGCGGAAAAAAAGCGACGCGTTTCGATTAGTCGCAAGCTGACCCGACTTTTTGCGATGCGATCTAGTCGCGGAGCGGCTGAGCCAATCAGCGGCGTTCGGAGCGAGGGTTTTCGAGAAGCAACTCGCTCATCGTGCACGCCAGTGTGACCATTTGATTCTTTTCGATTCGATCTAGTCGCATCGCGCGAGTGCTCCATATCGCAGGTGTGAACGCGCGCCGACGCACGAACGACTCTTCAAAAAATCCCCGAAGTTGTCGCCGTGCACTGGATATCAGTATGTCATGTATTGCTTCCCACAATAGCCTCCATACGTACTCGTAGCCTCCGTAACCACAGGAAAGCGCGGTTGACCAAACAGCTGCGGCTCGGCTAAATTTAAAATAAAATGATTGGAAACGCTTTTATTTTGAATATTTATTTTTGGGACCATGATGGAGCATGGTGGCGCTGGAAGCACGCGGACTTCTATAACTGTGGCGGAATTTAATCGAGAAGAGTGTGCGAGATATTCACTCGGCAACGCTTACGGAACGCACAACTAACATCGGCCCGAGCAGGTAGCTTTTGCGTACGCTACATAATATTGCGTATTCCGTATGCACGAACCAGTAACGCTAACTAAAACTATTTCCAGGTCTTGTTAAAGGGGTGTCGAACAACCTCACCGCTTCTGTCTTATTCACTTCCAAAGACAAGTGATGGAACTACTTCAGACGCCTTTGACGGCAGCTGTCCGGTTTTCTTTTTTTTTTTATTATTTCTAGTATATTTATCATGATGCCTCCGAAACTTCGACTTCATGTTAGCCTCTAGGCTCTGCGAAGAAGCAGCATGTCTTAAAAAAGATAAAAGTGTGTTGTTGTTGTGGTTGTTGTTGTTGTTGTGTTTTGCTGCTGATGTTTTATTTTTATTTATTTTTTTACTATGCGCATAAAAAATGTAACGCAGAAAAACTAGAGACAGTCCAAACAATAGAATAACGAGCGAGACAACTCTTGCGTGCGTCCAATACCTGGTTTCTTCTCGGCCACTGGCATGAAAATAAATACATTTCGATAACAAGGCTAGACACTGACAACAAGAAAAAAGGGAGAGAGAGAGAGAGGCAGGGAGAGAAAGAGCGCGCAGGCCAGGAAACTTCGCGTCTCCATTGACGCAAAACCTGTTTATCTCGTTTGTCCTTACGACATTTGTTTTTGTTGTTTCTTTCCACGTCGCTTAAGGTCTACGGAAGGTCGTCATCGTTGTTTACCTTCCGTCATCGTTCAAGCAAGAAGCCATTTACTTGGATCGATTGATGTACCATCCCAATTTTGTTATATTATTATTTTATTAAGATTCGCATCGATCACGATGTTTACGAAACATTTTTACGCCACCTCCACCGTACAGAAATCCCCGTCCAAGCCCGAAACCACTTACATAATACCACGCTCTAGTGGTTTGAGCTTCGAAGAATCCTCGGCGACTTCGCAATAGCGCACAAAGGCGGAAGCTCCGTAGATGGAGGCAACTGCAAAGACGGACGGACGACGAAATGCACAGCTGAATGGGCGTCGCAGTGCAGGGATGCATAAAGTATCGCTTACAAGAGGAAGCCAGACGGTCCATATCTTGCTCTTGACAGGGTGACGGGACGCAGATCCCCGACCGCATGCCGACGTGGAACCTCTCTCGAGTGTTGTTCAACCACCGGCGGATGTCTTGGCGGGGCTTTTTCGGAGAGTTGAACGGTGAAGAAGTTTAAAATAAGTAATACAAAAAAAATTAAATGAAAGACGTTTGCAAATCTCTGTAAAGCGGAATTAGAGCGCAGCTCTTGAGGATGAGGGGGGGGGGGGGGGAGGGGGTACGGAGGGGAAAGTATGCCCCCCCTCCTCCTCCGTGCAATTCAGATTGGCGTTGAGGTCACGTGACGTCAGTTTTCCCGCTAAATCTAGCGGAGAAACTGAATTTGTTTATGGGTGACGTGACACAGTCATGTGACGTCGTTTACCCCGCTTAATTTAGCGGGGAAACTGAATTGGTGTTGAGGTCACGCGGTGTCAATTTTCCCGCTAAATCTAGTGGAGAAACGGAATTTTTTTATGGGTGACGTGACACGGTCATGTGACGTCAATTTCCCCGTTAAATTTAGCGGGAAAATTCACGTCACGTGACCTCAACACCAATTCAATTTCCTGCTAAATTTAGCTAGGTGGTTACGCCGGCTGCGACGCCGACGCCGCGAAACCCGATAACGGGCGCAAGAGCTGTGCTCTGAAACTGCTTATGTTGTTCGTATGGTATCTGCCGGTTTTTTCACTGCCTGCATCGCCCGAACGAATTGACAGATAATCCAAGAACAAACATACTTACACCGACTACATTGTCCTAGCAATATCTCATCTCTAAAGTTTTCATTGTACCATGCAACTGAGGATAATCGCATGTAGTACCGTTGCTGTCTCTCCCCCATTCCATCATTGGCTTCCTTCCCTGTCTCCAAGTTCTTTATTAAAAAGTGTAATGCAGACTTGTACGTAGTTCAACTACTCCAGTTTCTGTAGTTTAACTACTTTTCTGAGTAGTTCAGTAACTTTCAATTAAATTTGTATTGCAGTAATTAGTAATTTTCTTTAATTACTTTTCCGAGTAACTTCTACTCAAATTACAAATTAATTTTGAATTTTTTCGGTAGGTTTGCTGGCCAACGAACATTGCTGCACAAATATAGAAAAGGTGTTGGAACATCAGCTGATATTTGCCAAGAGGGGGAAGCACATGGGGCCGTACGCAGGGGGTTGGGTGGGTGAGTGGTTTGGAGGGTCCGAAACCCTCTAAACTTTTTATGAGCCCCCCACTGCAACAACCCTGCTACGTAACGCGGGGAGCTGACAGACACGTCGCAAGGGAGGCCCAGTAAATGCGGGATTAGTGCCGAAGACTGGCATTTCTTTGTGTCCCGAAGCTCAAGGAGACTTAACGTATTTAAAGAAAGGGTTTGTCCCCGCTTCTACCCAGCGTAGGAACGTTCGCCCACCACAGGAGGTGTACACACTGCAGCCTCACTCAAAGGAGTCAACAAAATGCAGCACCCGCACTGAAGCCCATCAGGTGCTCCCGTAGTTTGTGCTGTACTTGAAGGATCGCGTGCTAAAGGGCAACGCAAAGGTGACCTCTTTGCGTTGCCTTTCCTTCCAAAACTCAGCACATGAAGGTCTTCCCAGGATTCGAAGATCGTTCGAGAAGCTTAATAATTCCGTCAACGTTTTTACAAAAAAAAAAAAAAAAAAGTTGAATTCGGAAGTATTTTAAGACAACCGTACTTAAAGTACTTTTTCAAATAGGATTATAAAATATTTACTTACTTGAAGTACATCCTCTGAGCATGTACTTCTACTTTACTACAGTATTTTTTCTGGTAATTTCTGAAGAAAGTAAAATTCCAGACTTCATAGTGCATTCCCCAAATTTGAAAACAAAAAAATGGTGTATCGTCCTGTAAAAACGCGCGATTGTCTTTCGAGACATTATCTGGTAATTTCTCTGAGTGAAGTAATGGCAGCTATAATACCAATACAAATGCGTGCCTTATAAGCGTGTTGTGTCGAATAGTTCGTCAGTGAGAGTAAAGCAACTGCTCTGTGGCAACTTGACTTTATCCAATATTTCCCACCATTTCCGAAAAAAATCTGATGCCCCTCCGATTACCTTCCGAGCAATACGTACCAGTTAAAATAAAGTTAAAAAAATAGGGTATGAAAGGTACAAGATTGCGTTAAAAAGTATTTGTGGGTGATTTCAAATAAGATCGACCAACGGGTGGCTGGTCGACATTTTTACATCAACTGATGTTTTTGTATGTCATTGTCTAGTGCCTGTTATAAACAAATCCACACTTAGTTTTGACCAGAAAAAAAAATTGGGGACAAGAAAAATTGTAAGGCATGATGAGGTGGATAGTTGCATTAGCGCGCAATGATAGAGGGGGCACGTGTGAAAGTGAATAATTAAAACGATAAAATTAGAATTTTGAGAAACAAACTATGGGTACATCTTGTTTGTAATATATAGTAATATTATTTATTTAAACTATATTTATTTTTCTAAAAATTGCCAAACATGCCTGCTCGAGCGACAAAAGGCAACATTTGGAGGCCTGTATGTCATGAAATAATTTAATCACCATCACATACTTTTCAGATAGTATTCTGCTTATATATGGCTATTCTTTAAAATATATATTAGGTATCTGAGTGATACGATAGCCGTGATATATTTAGGCAAACATGGGGAAAAGATCAAGCAACAAAAATTTCCGATGCGAATAAAAAAAAAACACCACCTTCAATTTTTTTTAAACTTGGGGTACCCTGTGAAGCTCTATTTCGACACTAATTTTTATTAAAAACATGTTGCATTATTTCATTGCGAAAGAAGCCTACACTTAGCAGTGCTCTATACGAGAAGTGACTCTGAGTTCCAGTTTCAGGAAACGAACAAACATCTTTGATATATTTGTATTAAGTTGAGGTCACGGTTAACTAGAGCAATCAGTCACACAGTAAAAGTGAGGAGAGACTATACACAGCATTTCACATACGGCGTACAAAGAAGTAGCATATTAGTGACTAGTGATTCGAGAAAAGACGATGCAGTGTGAAGTTTTACTTTCCAGTATATTTTATATTTAGAATAAGATAAATGACTTTACTTCCGCATGCAAAAATAAAGATAAAATACTAAAATTGTTTAGGTTAGCTATGTACTTCCAGGGACAAACCATTTCAGGTGAGGGGTGCCACCGCGCCGGACTGTAAGAGCTTCGATACTCTCGGTGTGCGAATGGATCGTGGCAAGCCGAGATCTTTATCCTGCTCGACGACGGCGTTTCGTGATTCTCATATGGTGATCAGATAGAGATTACAAGGTATTACCAAGTAAAACAGTAGGTTAAATGCCCCACGAAAAAAACTGTGATAAATAAGATTTCCCTGCATTCAGAATGAGCAGTCCTTGGGGAATCGAATTCGGCACTCTACGCTAAAGCTTTCCTTGATGCACCCATTTAATAAAGGTTCTTCTAACCACATCTGACTTTCCGTGCTGCATATATATCACAGGTTACTTCTTTTGATGACTTGCATAGCCGCCACACGTGCCAAGACTGAATGCCAGGAAAGGAGCGCACCGTCAACCACTCTTTTTTTTTTTTCTTTTTTTGCTGTTGTTGACGATACCGAACAACCTCATTATCGTCCAGATACACAATATGCACCCAGTTTCTAGGATAGAACGCTCACCATTGTCCTGGCCGCCTGAATAGCGTTTATTGAACGTTCTGTCAGGTTGCTCAGCGTGGCCTCGTGCTTCACGAGTCCGCCAACTCCGTCGCATGCATTTTCCCATGTCCAGATGCAGAAAACAACCACTGGACTTTTGGGTAATCGTTTTGCGAAAACTGTTGAAGCTGGTAGCGGTCCTCAAAATGACTGGTAGCCCCATCACTTACGCACGACACGAGCAAGTATACCGCAACGTTATCTTCAACACACTCTCATTTTTTCTAGAGCCAAGCACGTGTGAGTGGCGTTGTCTCACAGGTCCTCACTTATGGTAGCAAAGCTGTTTCTAGATTTTCTTGTCGTCACTACATATGTAAATATTGTAACTTTTTTCTTGTCCAGTGGTATGCTTGAACTTTGTCAGGAAGCACAATGGCCCACTTTCCATCGAAGTCAAAATTAAAGACAACGCTCCCGCTTTGCATGCGCTGCTTTTCATCGTAGATAGCTTTAAATTGAGTTTGTCGGAAACTTTCAATCAATAGTTGAACACTTTTAGGAAAGTCTTATCACCGAATTCAGAAACCTCACTCAAACTACACTCAAACTGAAGGGCCCCTCCACTTCCTCGAGGGAGGCGCGAGGGCCGGCGCTCGCCAATCGCGGCGGCGGATCCGTTATCGCGATTGGCCAGCGCCGAACCCTCGCGCCTTCCTCGAGGAAGTGGAGGGGCCCTTTAGTTTGAGTGTAGTTTGAGTGAGGTTTCTGAATTCGGCGGTTAGGATCCAATGTTGTTGATATTTTTCACAACGTCGCCGAACTCCCATGTAAGAGCAATCTCTTCATCTTCCGGTATATGAAGTTCCTCGAGTGTAAGGGATTGGCCTTTCGGGCAGTTATCACAGTCGCATTAAGGACACAGATTTGTTAGTAGGTCATACAGAAATGCTGAGTTTATTTTACCAGTGTTGAATGTTGAGCCTGTAACGTTCTCTACAGTGGCAATGCAAAGGTAGTAATTGGCGCAGCGCACACAAACGCACACTTACTGGTGTGGAATACATTTGACCCATCTAAGGCGCAGGGAATAAAATTTCGTTAGTCGAACGCCGGAATCAGGATTTTTATCTTTGTTTACATGAAAAGCCTCTCGTATCGAGCGTGTCAGGAACCGCTTTGGCACGAACGTTTTCTCTCCGTCGAGCATGAGAGAGATCACGTCCTTCTGGTTGGGACCTTGGCGCGAACATTGCAGCTCGTCTTTCGTAAAGTACTCGGCAGCAAACACGTTCTCAGGGCTCACCTTGCACCTCGTGTAAGGATCCGGCTCATACCACACGCCATGATTTCTTTTGCCTAGAGCGTAAACACCGTCGCCGTGCTAACCTTTCCTAGGTTAGCATGGCAACAGTGTTTAAGCTCTATTGTATTTAGGTGGTGTTCAAGTATTTGGGTGTTCTGCTGTCTGTCGGTGTGCCTCTTTGCGCCTGATATTATCGCCCGTGACGCCAGCGAGTGGGATGGCGATTTGGGTTTTATGGCGCGAAAGCAGCGGGATGGCGACAGGCACGACTACTCAGTAAACAGGCATCGGCGGCCATAGTTTTCTGGTTGAAGCAAACCCTCTCATCCTTGACAGCGAGGGGGGGAACTCGAGAAAAAGAATGTATCGGCCGTTTGGGTGCTAACTAGCGACGATGTCATCTGCTATTTCCGTCAACTATTGCGCCATAATCGTGATCTTCGCGAGGAAATGATTGAATATGTTTTTATGCTAGATATACGCCAGGGATATGTATAAGAGAGAGAGAGAGATGGAGTTAGAAGGGAAGAGAGAGAAGCAGATAGTGTCGTAGGAAATTAAAGTAAGCAAAGTTCCCAGTCGCCGATGGCTGCAGGATCTTTTCTCGGATCACTAGTTCGGAATATGATAGCTCTTTGTACACAGTAGTTTCTCCTCACTTTTACTGTGTGAACGATTGCTACAGTTATCAATGGCCTCATCTGAATAAAAATATTTGAAAGAAGTGTGTTAGTTTCATGAAACTGGAACTCAGAGTCACTTTTCGTATAGGGCACTGGCTAAGTGTAGGCTTTGAAAAAGGACCCTACTTTGGGGAGTTGTGTCTTCTTTCTCAATCAAATAAAGCAACATGTTTTTAATAGAAATAAATGCCCAACTAGAGTATGACAGGGTACCCAAATTAAAAAAAAAGTCGAAGGTGGTGTTTTTTTGTCTTTTTTGCATCAGATTTTTTGTTGTTTAATTTTTCCTCCATGTTTGTCTCATTATATCCCGACTATCGTATTCCTCAGATACCTTATGTATACATATATATATATATATGTATATATATATATATATATATATATATATATATATATATATATATATATATATATATATATATATATATATATATATATATATATATATATATATATAAAATAATAGCCTTAGAATAATATCTGAAAAGTATATGATAACGATTAAATTGTTTCATAAGATACAGACCTCCAAATTTCGCCATTTGTCGTTCGAGCAGACATGTTTGCCAATTTTTATAAAACGAAATAAAATAGAAATAAATATAGTTACAGTATATTACAAGCAAGCTGTACCCATAGTTTGTTTCTAAAAAGTATTACAATTCTCCTCATTTTATCGTTTTAGTTATTCTCTTTCAAACGTTCCCCCTCCAGCAGTGTGCGTTAATGCAAACTGTCCACCTCTTTATACCTTACGATTTTTCTTGTCCCCAAATTTTTTTCACGTCAACACTAAGTTTGGATTCGTTTATACCAGACACTAGACAATAGGATATAAAACATCAGTTGATTTAAAAATGTTGACCAACCACCCTTTAGTCGATCTTTTCTGAAATCACCCTTGTATTTTACTTTAAAAGTATGTTGTGCGCGTATTTATAGTATCTTACTTCACGAACACTGCACCTGGTGGACTTACTATACTTGAAGTACATAACCTTTAATTGACTTTGTAGTTTACTTCAAGTACTTTTTAGATGTACTTTACGCAACACTGTAAATAAGCAAACACAGTCTGCAAAATCTAAGCTCAGGCAGTGCTAAACCTCACAGTAGGAATGATACATCCGCAGTACAGCACTGACCAGAAAACAAAAAGGTACAAAACAATTAATCACACAAAAGCAGAACCAGCTATTAAAGCATTTATGTGAAAACACGAGCCGCTTTATATTTGGCTAATAGGATTTCGCTAACGGATCAAAACATTTATGTACTTTCTTGTTACTATAAAGATATAAAAGTAACTTCAAAAGTAACTTGTACATGTCTGCTGTAGTGTTGCAAAAATTGTACGAGGATACCGAATAAAGCTACGGACTCCCAAAATTATAGACTCATTGATTCTGCAGGGCGAATCATTTTACTCTGGCACCGATTTATACAGCCCCCAAAATTATCGTATTAGTTGCGCACGTAGTAATATTTCATGCAGAAATGATACGGAAGACTTATCTTTTCAAACTTTTCTTTCGGGTGCACTTCTTTGGTTCTTGAGATAAACCTTAAAAGCGTGTGTTTTAAAATGTCCCACAAGCTTGTCTGTTGGTCAGAAACTTGCTGCCTCTAAGCTCCACTAAGTCTTTTAGCGAAACTTCCGCTGCCACTCTTGAGACTTCCAGAAGCTACCGTTGCAAGTCAAGTATCTTTGACTTGAAAGCGTATACCTTCTGGAAGTCTCAAGAGCGGCAGTGGAAGTTTCGCTAAAAGGCTTAGCGAAGCATGAAGGTTAGCTTTTTTAGCGATACGTCGGGTGCCACTCTAAAGTTTCCAGAATGTTCTTTATCAAGCTCTTTTTATTTACCAGCTTCGACTACATACGGGTTTTGGCAGGTGACACTAAGGCGTTGCTAAGCAAGGCGATAGTTGGAAGACCAAGCAGTCAGGCTTTCATTCCCTTCCACACAAAGGTTAATAAAGAACGCCATAGCGTTTTTCGTTCTGAGCAAATTTCTTATTTTTTTAGTGAAGCAGGGCCTATTGTTATTTATTTATTCGGTATTTGCACACACTGGATCTACAGCGACAGAACACATGCACAAAAGCCTTTTTGGTACAAGTAAACAGTCAAGAATCAAAAGTCAAATCTGCCTTATAATGACTCCTGATGTCACTTCTGGCGTTTGACCAGTATACAGTGGGACTACATACCTGGAACCTTTAACGTGTCGCATGCAGTAGCGGTTACACGAATATACGCTTGTACAATTTACACGATTGAGAAACCCATTTACGCAGTTCAATATAAAGAGACTTCGTATTAAACGTATTCCTAAAGTTCCGTAAACTTTAACTTACAACCAAAAAGTCCGTCAAATGTTAATTTAAACTCATCTAAAAATGCATGCAAACGATAACAAAATGAATTTTGTTGGAAACAAGTGAGAATACTGCCTTATACATCCGACAAGTGTTTCGTAATTTTTCTGGATATTCATCTAATATATTTTCCTTATAACTCCCCGGAAAGAAACTCTGCAGTTCCTCGACTGAATGGCGAGAAACCGATAAATGCTTACGTCGTGTTGGTCGGTGACCGGAAACACCTTGAGTAGGTAGTCTGTGTTGGGCCTCCAGAAGAGCGTGCAGTAACGCCCTTTGATTCCCATCGCAGAGTCCGTGTGCAGGCACTGGTCCCGGCTGCCCAAATTTGCGAAGCCACCTTCGTACATTCCATTGGGAAAGGCGCCATTTGCCGTGACCACTGCAACATTTGGCATCGTTCTCGTGATCGGCATCATCGTTGCAACCAAAGAGAACTGCCAAAATAATCCATTCCAATATAAGCCACTCGTCATTATTGGACAAGTTCAGTGCGCGGATCGGGGAACCCAGAAGTCATGCCTTGCTTATTCTGCGATAAGTGTTCAAAGTGCGTCCGACCCACGGCTTACTCCTCCCTGCACCAACGTGTAGATCGGGGTTCGAGATCTTGAACCCTGACGTCTCTACCAGTCCAGAGACGAAATCCCTTTTTCAATTAGTTACTCTACACCTTGTTCTTTTTATTGCTTAATTTCTTTTTTGATACGCAGTTTTGTTTTGATGTGAAAATAAAGTGTTATTATTATATTATGTTATATTATATTATATTATATTATATTATTCTGTTACCTTTAAATAGTATTGCTGCCAGCTAACGCCAGTCCAGATGGTCTTTATTCCAAAAACTATAACACTTGCATCAATATTATCTTTACAATGATTATGTTTTCAATAGTAGTTCTGCGTGATTTTGTTCACTTCAACACGCTTCATGAAATTAGTGAAAAGACGAAGCACGAGCTGTCAAATTATGTAGTTTATCGTGTGTTTTGAAATGCATTCAATTCGTCATTTTATGTGGGTCAACGGCTACTGACATAGCTATATAGTCGTTCCTGGATAACCTATTTAAATATTGAGACTGTGCATATTGAAACAAGAGACCCCTAAGTGTCGCTAATTGAATTTTCCCAATAATGCAGACATAAGGAAAATTACTCAGGCTAAAATCAAATAGAGAACCACAAGACGAACGTCAGTGTGGTGCCATGGGTCGAGGTGTTTCTGTACTCTAGCACTAATACTTCTAATTTATTATCATGCCGCGCTCATCTAACATTCAGACAAAAGTCAAACAAAACTGTGTTGAAGATATGCGATTTTTAGATGTAAAAATGAAGAGAGCGTTTAGCTTTATACATAGAAGAAGCTCACGTTTCAAAGCCCACGTATCTCCACTCCGAGCAGCGAACGTCGTCTTCAGCATAGCCAGCTGACATTCTCCGCTAATTCCTTTGTCATGCTTGATCCGAGCAACCAGTGGCAGCAGTTTATCATCCAGGTCCTGGAACACGACCGCCAGGTCTTCGTCCACATCTCGCGTCGCCAAGTCTGGCCGAAAAGTCGTCTCTGAAGCCGTGCTTGTCCCTACGGGCCTAGTAGTTGTGGTTGAAGAAACGGGATCCAAAAAACTAATCGAACTACACCAAATTAGTAGCCAAAGCATTCTTGTTGAACTACTGTTGAAGCAGGGCGCTGAAATTCGTATCCTCTGTCCAGGGGATGACACGTCGTAGCTCTTGTTTTGAGCGTCACTTGAAATCTGCTTCATCTTCGGCACGAGAAACATTCAGGCTTGTCCACCTACTGGGAAGAGTCTACTGCAGACACCAGGAAGAGTGCTTTAGACGACAGACTTGATTGCTTGTTCGGCAAACATGTCGCCTGTCCTCGCACCACCCGTCGTACGTCAGTTCTCCGTCGGGATGCATTTCCTTTTGGAGTCTGACGCTTGAGTTAAATGTGTTCCGAACTTGCAGTTTTCCGCCAGCATCGTTCCCTTAATCGCTTTTAACACCTTTTTAATCTCGAAAAACTGACGAAAACTTCTCTGGCGCCGAGTTAGTGGCTGTCGGCTGGTACCCGAAGACATGTGATTTTTTTTTAAGGTGTATTAATATTGTAAGTGTCCGAAGAACTATCAGTGATTCGGTATTTACTTGCGATAAGGAAGTCAATGAGTGTAGAAGTGGAAGTGGAACAGCAGAGCTCGAACCAAAGAAAACAGAAAATAACTTAAGAGCCACCGCAGCCATATAATAAATTTTATAATAAATTCATAATCTAGACCTGAGACACTGAAAAATAAAATAGCGGTCGTCTTGTCCGTTATTTTCTTTCTCCGTGCCTCAATGTTTTTGATTGTGATGTTTTCTAACCAATTCTCCTGCCTAGTATCACTTCTTGTAATAAATTCCACACGTTTGACTACGTTAACGATAGTTTTTGTGTCTGTGTCTCTCACAGACACAAAAAGGAAATAATAGGTTCGAAGGGTGGTGAACTGAGCTAGTTGGTAGGATGACATTTGGAACATAACAGCGAACAAGAGAGGAGGACAATTTTTCATTCTTTGTGGATTATATTTCAGTTGCGAGTCAGCGCTTGTGTGCCTTGTGTGTTCCTTTCCTTTCTCGTCGTCCTTTGTGCGTTGTTATGGTCCTAATAGGTTCAACTCGTAAAAAACAACCCATAAACCTCAAACTTTGCCGAAAATCAGTGTTGGGTAAAGTACATCTTAAAGGTTCTTGAAGTACAGTACAAAGTAAATGAAACGTGATGTACTTTAAGTATAAAGTGGTAAGTCCACTGTGAGCAATGTACTTCAAGTAAAGCACTATAAATAGAACGTACTTTAAAAGTAAAGTACGAGCCTTTTCACGCAATCTTTCATTATGCCCTTTAATTCCCCTATACAGTGATTTTTAACTGGTATACATTGGCCAGGGGTAATCAGGGGTACATGACCTATTTTCGAAAAATGCGGCGAATATTTGATAAAGTCAAGTGGCCAACACAGAATAGTCATTTTCAGGAATAGAGCCAAATTCAGAAGTCCCTCTTCTGAATTTGGAGCCGCCTGCACTGGATTGTTGCACCCAAGATTGTTAAATGTACCAGGAGAAAGCATGACATCAACCCCGTAGCTTCCGCAAGATATCCTCTCATAGAGGAGTGTCCTCTTTTAACGAACAAAACAGTGAGTGTGAAAGCGAGCTGGTGATGATTAATCATAATGTGACACCTGAGACTGGGGTGCGAAAAAATTAAGGAACTTTCAAGTCGAAGGAAAAGACAAAAGAGAATGTCTCAAATCATTTGACGTTTTCCTCTGTTATCTTCTTCTTCGACTTGAAAGTGTAATTGTTCCGCACCACAGTTTCAGGTGCTAGATTATGATTAATTTGCTCTCATAGTATTTTAAACCTCCTCTCTTGCGCTGACCGACCGAGAAGGAGCAAGACTTCAAAAAGCTACTGGAAAGCCGTCCCCAGAACAAGTGGAGCGAGGCGTCGTCTGCTCACGTCTCTGGTAAGAGTAGAATATCCCTTCCAGTATTTCTTTGGAGTTGACAAAGCGTCATTTCGTGATACAAATTTAACAAAACCAAATTTGGGGAATATACTTTGAAGTCGGGAATTGTTCTTTCCTCGCAAAAGTACCAGAAAAAAAAAAAAAACTTTAAGTAAAGTACAAGTGCATACTCAGAGAATATCAAGTAAAGTACAAGTTTCCTAAACTTACTCGAGGTAGTACTTTAAGTACAATGTACTTAAAGTACTTCCCAGCACTGTCAAAAATATTCAACTTGGTGTTGTGGAGCCGTACAAAGCGTATGCCAGAAAATACAGCCTCCAAAACCTTAAAAGACGAAAAGAATCAAATTTTTATACGTGCTTTGACGACTGCTTGAAAGTGCAGTTTTTTCGGTGACCACTGAAACGTAGGCAATCTATGTTGCCTGTATTGGTTTCATCACGAACTTCAAAATGCCCGCTTATTTTTTTCAACCATGGCGGCGCAAGGACACGAATGGCGCTAGGGTCGCTTAAGAAATTGGAATTTCAGTGCTTCCGCTTCCCTCCGCCAGGTGGTGACACCATACGGCCGCTCGGTTCTGTGCATGGCTCGAGTTGAATGGCTTCTCGGATATTTCGTCGATCGAGATGTTTCTGCGACTTCTAGGATGCTTCCGCGATTTATGAACCCCGAGAGATTCGTGTTAGCCACTTCTAGCTAGTTTAAGTGTGTGGACCTTAACGGCCGGGCCTTAGGGACCTCGTGTGGTACGTACTACGTCCAAACTTTGAATTCACGCGTAGCTGCCGGTGCTAATATTAGCCCAATTTCACACCATCCGTGTCCCTTCTCCGCTTCCTTTTCGCCTTTCATTACAACTTAGGAAAAAAATAAGAGTGACAGCTTTTATATAAAACCAGTAGCAGCCATTTCTTCTCTGGATTTAAAGCTTGGAAAGTGATACGGAGGCGGGGGTTGTCAGGGCCGGGGCTAGCCTTTTTCGATTCCGAGAGCCTGGCGTCTATTTTCGTTCATGTAACCGTGCCGTCTGTGTAATCCTGAGTCCACGGCGTGGTAATTCCTAATAAGGTATTAGTAGTTCACTGGGAAGAGCGCGCACAGGGCAACGCGCGTACCTCCCTAAGCACGCATCGTGCGAATTTGACAAGTGGGGATGGCTAATTGCTTGATTAAGCTCAATGAACTTTTGGCAAGCTTCTCTATTTTCTTCGGCGCGCGATGGCAGGGGAGGCGATATAGTTCTCGTATTTCGGGGCAGTTTAATATAACCAGTTCTTCAATAATTCATGTTCTTTGGGCGTCCTTTGCGTGCGCGGTGTGCGCGGTTTATGCATGAGCTGTCGGTGGGTGTGTCGTCTGCATAAAACAGCTCTATGTCGGACTCGTTTATCTCCTTATGCCATGTGTTTTGCTACCGGCTGCCACCGGAGAGCCTCAACTGGCTCTACTTCTACCTGCGGATATGTGCAGTGCGTGCTTCAGATACATGGTGATCTGAGAGGCGGTTAGGAAATGTTGGAGGACATGGAACTGTAGATAGTCGCCTCACTTTTGTTGCAAACATGATTTTACACCGAAGAGCAGGCATCATTATGCAAAATATTATACCATTTTCAATAACCTATTTACATGGAAACAGCGTGGCAAGGGTGTCCTTAACATGTCCTCTTATGTGGATGTGTGCAAAACTTGCACATATTTGTAAATTTTTAAAACCTGTATTGGAAATTTGTATGTTTATGGTGACGTTTTCTTCTTTTTTTTTTTTTTTTTCCACATTAATGTCTTTAGAGGAGCCCAAGCCCATAAGTTTGTCTGTTTCCAAGTTATCTATACAGTTCATGCAACAGACATGAATATTAGCTGATGTATTTGTCTTCTGTTAGTAACTTGTATGCACACTGAATTACTTTCCTACAATTTTTACTTACAATAGCAGCCTGATAAATTCTTTGTTCTTTTATGTTCCCAATTGTGTTATTCCATATCTTTTTAATTTAACTTTTTTTTTTTTTTTTAATTGGTTCTTTATCAGGTTGTCAAAGTCATTTGCCTCTAAAAGCATCTAAAAAACTCAAACCATTTAATTGAATTTGAAGATTGCCAACCCTCTTTTCTGTCTGGCTTCCGAAAATTTTTTTTGAAAGATGGCCCACTCCTGTGAATCGCATCGCCTGGGTTTTGTGGACTTCCACAATGAATCGGGTAGTCACCGTTTGTACCACTCCAGCAGCCGTTTCTTTCATGGCCTAGAGCAGGGGTGGCCATGCTCACCCGGCCAAAGAGCCGCAAACAAACCCACGAAACTTCCAAGAGCCACGGGGGGGGGGGGGGGGGGGGGGGGGGGGGGGGCTGCGGGGGGGTATGGGGTGGGACAAACTTAAATTTTGTATAGAGCCTGACTGTACGTATGGGGCCACAAGGCGGTACGACTGTACGTATGGGGGTACAAGGCTGTCAAACCGCAAGGTGTGCTTTCTTCTGAAATCCTTTCTTTTTTTTCCTGGGGAAACGCGGAAAGGGGCGAAGGGAGGGGGGGGGGGTGTCCCCTTACGAGGGATCTGCGAGCCGCACTTAGACCAGCAAAGAGCCGCATGCGGCTCGCGAGCCGCGCTTTGGCCACCCCTGGCCTAGAGTATAAATTTTAATTTCTGTTTTTCAAAAAGACCTACAGTCATGCTGATATCTACGGCAGCTGGTGTCGGAATCAACAGGCCAGGATCCATCTCAAGCAATTTTTTCTAGCATTCCAAGTTTCTGGTAAAGGGGGGGGGGGGGAATTTTTCAGAAAATGCTATAGTCAGATTCAAGTTAAGCATGTACCAGAACCTCCTTTCTCACCGCCCACCACTGCTCCTCCATGATGCACAAATGGTTCGCTACTGAGGCACGCATTGCGCTGACATTACAGAACTCGTCAAGGCTGCTGCCTTTCCTGGTTGGTCCATGAAGTGATTCAGTGCTATTGCTATTATGTAATGGTGTTTATTGGGTGCATTCTGAATTTGCATCCGACTATTAGGCAGGAGATCCAACCGTTATGCCTCTAGCGACTGAGTTGTTAACTAAATCCATGGCGATAGCAACAACATAAATTGTTTGTTTGTATTTCCGATGCAACGCTCAACTGACGTAGCCGAACGCTGACACAGCACTGGTACCCAACCTGTGTTTCGCACTCAATCGAGCAAGACGACATAGGTTGAATCCAGTCCACAGACCTTGCATCGGGTAAACACCGAGTCGGGGATGGGCAAAATACATGCAAATATGTATCGAAATACAAATACAAAATACTTCGTCAAAAATGTATTTAATTACAAATCTAATTACATTTTAAAGAAAAGTATTTAAATATATGATACAAATACAACCAAATGTATTTGGTCTCCTCCAAATACTGTTCCAAATACATTCCTCAAAATTTGCGTCAACAACTTCAGGGCACCTGCAACGGGTTTCTGGATATCTCATTTTAATTTTGCATCGCACACTCGGGAGTTAGTGTGCGAGGCTCTAGTAACGTAATAAAAATATAATCACAAAAAAATGTAATCAGCTTGGACGTAATAGGTGAAAAAAGCAAAGAGCTTCAAGCAGCTTTTTTTGTCAATTACATTTTGGTATAGACCAACAGATAACCGAGATGACCAAGACGCGCAGCACTAGCTAGATAATTTTTTATTGTTGCAACTCGCATCAGTTTTGAAAATCTGGACGACCCGCGCATTTAGAATGTTTCAGGCAAAAATATGGATGGAAATCAGGCTGGAAAGCATCGCAAGTTGTCACAGGCACTTATTTACCCGGTCTGCCCGTGAACGTTGATTTCGTCACTATTCTTGCCCTGGACTAGCACCGTAATCACAAAGTCACTAAAGGCTTGTGTTTGATTGAGAGACACTGCATTCAGTGCAGAGCGTAGTTTTCTTACTGCTCTGGACAGTGACAATAAATTTGAGGGATGTATTTTTGCCCATAAAATTGTATTTAATTACAATTGTATTTGAAATACCCACATTTTAGTATTTAAATACACATGTTAAATACATTACCCAATTTGTAATTAAATACAAATGCAAAATACACAAAGTATTTGAAATACTGCCCATCCCTGCACCGAGTTGTGTTGAAAACAAGCTGGGCAGAGCGCCTTCTATAGTTCTATCTTCTTGCCAATAGAGTATTCGAAAAAAAGCAGAGAGAAACTAACAGACTCCTTTATTAATGCGTCTAGTGGTCAGCGCGACCAGTCAAGGCATGGCAGCGCACCTGTGCCTGGAGGAGGCGGAGGTGGTGCGGCTGGTGCTGGAGTTCCTGTCCAACCGGGAGCTGAGCATCACGCAACTGGCCATGGAGCGGGAGTCCGGGGTGATCAACGGGGCCTACTCGGATGACCTGCTCTTCCTGCGCCAGCTGATCCTGGACGGCCAGTGGGACGACGCCCTCGACTTTGTCCAGCCCCTCGAGGACGTTGAGGCCTTCGACAGCAAGAGCTTCAAGTAGGTGGCCTGCTCCAGCACTTCCCACGTGGCAGTTTCACGAAAGGCCTTTTGCCTTTCGGCAAGCCGCGTTCCACCACTTTCGTCATCTGCTCATGTGCAGTTGCTTGGTTATTGGCGTCATTTGTGGGGTTGGTAAAACACTGAAACGTGGAGAAAGGCTCCATCCACGATGAAATCTGGTAAGTACAATTAGGACGTATTTGAACCGCATAAGTCCGAGCTTATTCTGATTTGTTTCCTTTGGGAGTCGCCCGGGTGACGTCTACAAGGTCTTTTATTGCCATCAACGTGTCGACTTCTCTATCGTCGGCTCGTCATAAAAATCGAATGCCAGACAACGCTCCTTTATGTCGCCGATTACTCCGGCAGACACAAAAAGAATCAACCGAGCTGGTATGCACTGCCTCCACGCATAAAAAGAAGTATGGCAAAAGTTCATCAACATGGCGTCCAGCAAACTTTTTAGCTGCAAGTGCAGTTACGGTAACAATGCTTGAATTTGGGCTAGTCGGTTTGACATTATAAGGTATACTGCACTGCGAAGTTACACTCAACACGTAAACTGTGAGATGACATGTTGGGTAGAAAAGAACATGACAAACACGTGAAAGCGCAGGCTAACAGCTGTTTATTTTTCGTTTCTTCCTCCTTTATACACTTATTTTGAAGGATGAAAATCGCCTGATAATTTCCGGAGTTAAAGACTGGATGATTAAAGGGGCACTGACACATCAAAATCATATATTTTTTTATTGTCTAAAACAATGCAGATTATAGTCATAGACACGCAAAAAAAAAACGCATCGCAAAAAAAAATTTTCCCGCGCGCGCACGCGCCTTTTTATTTTTGGCGTTTATATTTCCCGCGCTCACCTCCTCGCTTCTTTTGATCGATGACGTCAAAAATCAGGAAATTTAGAAGCTTTGTAGGTGACATTTCTATAACATTTAATAACGGCAATCGTAAAACATGTTTTTTAACGCAACTGCGAACGCACTACGGCCCCTCTTTTTGAAATATCGAAAATCAGATTTCGGTGTGATGTCGCTTCCTGGATTTGTATCCTCCTTCTGAAAACTTGGCGGCGCTCGTGCAGAGGCTTATCGGCCAGTCGGGGAGCAACCGGTTTTTCCCGCGCTAGCACCCTTTTATCCCGCCTGCTCACCTCCTCCCCCTCACTTCGGGTCGCCGTGGCAACGGCGCGGTGGAGCAAAGGTCGGAAAGAAAGTCGAGTCGCCGGAGACCGCAAAATTTGACTCACTGCACTGGCGCGGATCGCGCGGGAACTTCAAATTCGGCATTTGTAAATTGTTTTTTTTTAATAAAGAAATACTGAATTCCCAAGTTTCAAATTTCGAGGGTAATGTCCCGGCATCGTTTTCAATCGTTTCGGATAATAAAAAAAAATATGATTCTGATGTGTCAGTGCCCCTTTAATGTCATTGTTGTCAATTGTAGACACAGGTGTTTTAGGAAACGGAAAAGTGCCGGAGTTTTGGATGGCAAATATGTACCCGAGAAATTGTGGAAATGACTGGGACAACTAATATCTTTTCTGTCATTTGTAGACATTTGGTATCGATGGTGTGTGTCTCTATGCTGTTGGCACCCTGGAGCTGATGTTTGATCTGTTGTGTTGCGGGACCGTTTTAAGCAGCTGTTAGTCTGCACTTTCATATGTACATCATGTACTTTTTGGTCTATCATATTGTCTGATAGTTTAGTATGTGTTCAGTGTAACTTCGCAGCTCACTATACCTCATAACAGTAACGATGCATGGGATGCATCTTCGGCCAGTGTGTTTAGCTTCATATCTCACCCATCCGCCGAAAATGGTCCCGACCTAGCAAAAATTGCGTCGCAAGGGCCGGCGTGTCGCGCCATCCAATCTCACGATCCTGGTGGTTGGTCATAGAATTGCTGGCGTGGGAAAGGAGAGCGGATGCAAGGTTGGCCATCGTTGCGATGTCCCATCCTGTCTTTGCTTAAGTTTTAGTCCCGGTCCGCAGAGCAACTAACCGTACTACAGGTGTCTGCCACGCCCACCCTTGCTGCTGTGCTACCACCAGAATCGCGGCAGGCAGCGAATGTGACGTCGTCAGGTAGGGATTGAGTGACGCCATCCCGACACCACACTATGGTGTGCTGCAGGTTAAGAGCCGCAGGACAAGCCCTGCCCACCCAGCTTTCTGCTCGCTATAATTAGTGATATCCTCCTCTCCAGCAGTCGCTCTGCTAAAGTGGAAAGATTAGACGGCTTTGTGGGAAAAGTGTGTTCTGCATTTCTTACATTGCAGCAGTCTAAAAAAAACGCAATGTTTAAAGTCAGGGGGGGTGGGAGTCTCGCAGAGGTCTCAGACCTTCCACTTATTTTGGCAACGTGGAAGTTACGTGATAAGTGTCACACGACCACATTATGTGACATGGCCATGGGTTATATGTAGGGCTCCGTGTTTTCGGAGTTTATTTTTCGTCAAAATCGGAGGGTGTTTTTCGGAGTTTATTTTTTGCCGAAGATTCGGAGTTTATCAGAGTTTATATTTGTTTGATTCCCAATTCTCCAAAATTCGGAGTTTAATTTTGCAGTGTTTCCTATTGAAAATAAATATCAAAATAATAACCGGATGTAAATTAACGTATGCCAGATAAAAAATAAAACGTGCTTGTATCGATTAAAATTTCTTCAGTTGAATTTGACGTTCGTGCCATTACCATTGGCAATATTAATTTGTCCCACGACAAAAGTCGCACACAAGTGTTGCTTCGATAAACGTCGGTACCTTAAAATTGATAAACTCCCGGGGGCAATCGCTACGAAGCTCGTAGTTATCCCATCATATTCCATCAATCTAGCGCGTGGCCGCGCAAGGTGGAGTGGTTAAGGATGGTAATAAAGAGTTTCAACTGTCCCTTTTCTCTATTTAATACAACCTCTATGGTCCATAGATTTCACTGTAACTAAAGCATACCCTCTCCTTTCTCTAAATCCCAAATCGCATGGCTCAAACTGGAAACCAAAAGAGTGGCTTTTGTCGTGACCCAAATGTACAATGACCTGTTGCCCTGAATCAATCTCGACGATACAAGTGGCAAGACCCCTTTTGACAACGGTCTGAGATTTGAAAGATAATTATGGTGCCATTTTCCCCGGACCATTGACTTCGTGCTGATCAAATTGTAAAAAAAGATTTTTAGTTTGTTAGTTTGTTCTTTTAATTCTTTTTTTTTTTTGGCGGGGGGGGGGGGGGGGGGGGGGGGAAGGGGAGGCATGGCATTGGCACGTAAACGTTCGGAGTTTTTCAGATAAATCCGAATTGACCAAAATATTGCCGGCGAGTGTTTTTCGGAGTTTTTCGGATTTATCCGAAAATACGGGGCCCTACTTAAACGTGACATGGCCGTGTTAGTCCCCTTTAGTGCCATCCACTAAATTTGGCAAAATGAAGCGGATTCCATTGACATGGTCGCGTCTGGTACCTTGGTGCTCGTTGCTGTAGCATCTCCTGCACCTCCTATCGGCTGGCATCAGCAGTCGTGTGATTATAGTGACAACCAATGGCCTTTTTGTTGGAAATCGCAAGGTCGGTATTGGTACATGAACGACTGCACCTAGGTTTACTGAACAAAGAACACATTTTACGTATATTGATTTTGCCAGGTAAAACCGAAATACTGCTGCAATTTTTCTTAAGTGCATTTTTTTGTTTTTGTAGTTAGTTTGTATTTTTATGCTGTCAACCTTTTTCCTTGCCTTCTCAATAAACCACATTGAAGTACTAAGATACCACCACAAATTGCATGGAATGAGAACCAAAGCTGCTTTTTAGATATAAGCAAAGACTGCAAATTTCCAAATTGCATTAAGGGGAGACACTGCTCTTTGAGGCATAAATTTGCTAAGAAAACACATTTTTGAAATTGTATTTTTTGAAGATTGGCAGGCACTTATCATCTTGACCTGAAGGATTATCTTTAAATAAATCTCTCTTATCTTGAAATATTGTCTTGGAAACAAAGTGAAATGAGTCTGTGGATGTTTTTTATATTATTTCTGAGTGAACTATTTACACCCTTTAATATTTTATGGAAGCCATATCTCCGCTTGCACATGTCTAATCTTCATATTTTTTTTTCATTCTCTGGTAAGTATATGTGTGACATGTGCAATAAGTGGTACAAATATATTAAATAGGGTATCAGGCTTTTTAAGGTACCTTTTAGGTATCCTGCAATAAATCATTTTGAAACTGGAAAGTTCAGAAACGTCCTAAAAAGTTTATAAAGCATCCTAGAGCTTTCATTTATGCCTTATTAGACTCCACATACTTTTTAGTTCACTTATATATGTTTATTTCTTTATTTCAGTATTTCAATTTGTCTTAATCCTTCCCATAATCTTTGCAAATGAAATTTTCAATATTAACAAAACTAATTAGGTTACGTCAAAACCAATTACATATTTATAGTTGGATTGTAATGGGAAGTAAGCTGTGTAAATTTCATCTGAATTGAAACACAAGTTATATAAAAAAGCTCTAGAAGCAGCCCCTTAATTTCTTGAAAAAGATCAGCCCTAAAGACGTAAAATGCTACCAGTAGGGCAAGAGTCTTTTTTATTGGGAGGGAGCTTTGTAGTCTGTTCTTATACCATAAAATATCGTAGAAGCACCTACTTTGTTCAAGTGCCCACTATTAACATTTTCCAAACTTGGGAATTCTGGAAATTGTATGTTAAGTTCCTGATTTGACCAGGCAAGCAAGCACCCATGTCTATATTAACCCAGTTTTCACTCAAAGTGAAGTGGGTGCTCCCCCGGTATTTTACGGTACTTTGTTTCACTTTAAGTGCATGCATAGCAGGAGCTACAAGAGCAAGCTCCGGGCTTTCAACATCCCTGCCAAATATGTGCACTCCCGCAGGGGAAGCATCGTTCAGGATGACATGCTTGCTCTTGTAGCTTCAGCTTCGTTCGCACATATCGTGAAACTATGGTGCTTGGAGCGCATCTTCGACTCGCATGGTTTCTCGTGAATGTGGTTTCTCGATTTCTGTCTGACAACATCATAGAAGTGTCATGTTGTTGCCTATCACAACCCTATCAGTGGTACAGCACTGGGGGCGGGTATGGCAGACGCTTGTTCTGCTGTACGTTGCTGTCCAGCTCGGCAGCCCACAGAATCTTCTGCAGCAATGGGACGCCGTAACGACGGCGACACCTGTGTTCGCTCGCCTCTTCGGCCGGAGCTGCTAGTACTGCCAATCATCGGGATCACAACAGCGCAACACACCGGCTCATTTAACGTCATATTTTTCCACTTTGGGACCACTGTTGACGCGTGGGCAGTATAGGACGCTAAACACACTGGTCAAAGACGCATTCCAGACACTGTGGTGAAACAAACTACGGTTATAAATTCTCTGCTCACGCTTAGAAAATCTTGTCGCAGGTTTTCCTTGCTGAAGCACAAGTTCCTGGAGCTGTTGTGCATCCGGTCGGAAGCAGGGCTGCTCCAGAGCAGCGACTTAGGAGTGGATGACATGGTGGCCTGCCTCAATGCCCTGGAGCAGTGCAGCCCCTCACGGGAGCAGTACAACGAGCTCTGCCTGCTCCTCACCTTCCCCCGCCTGTGCGACCACCTCGACTACAAGCACTGGAACCCTAGCAACGCCCGTGTCAACTGCTTCAAGGAGGTGTGTGCATTGCGAGGGGTTAGAAAGCGGCACCAAATCGTTCGCGAGACAAACATTGCATGTTTTCATTCCACGGGCCACGCCCGCTGTAGCGCACCACAGGTTGCCATTCAATCCCTGAGCCTTGGCACGACACTGACGCATGTGTTTACGAAGGCTTTTTGCCGATGTTGCACATGCCCGTCTATGGAAGCCAATCAGAATTCGTAAAAACTGAATCGCAAAACCTGTTTTCTATGGTAATCAATGCATAGACTGCATGGAGAAATACAGAGCAGCTTAATACTTTAGCCCAATGTTCCAGGGGGGGGAGATTCAGCCGTCAGATGTCAAAAAAAAGACACGAGTTTCGTGTAAGGCTCGTTAAAATATTAGGTGCTGGAGAAAACCAGCTACCTGACTCAGGTCTTTATTTTTAACTCTTTTTTTACATGTTCTACCCATTGAAAAGCACTGCAAAAGAGCCCAAGTATGAACCTGATCTCTCCACACCACTGTTTTCTTCCTCACAATAAAGTCAGTCTGCTATGGTTGCGTCAAAAGACGAGCACTTGAAAGCCGTGTTAGAAGCGAGCTACAGTCGCGCCATCTTCCGAATGCCGTCTGCTATTAACGCGGCATTGCTAGCTTGGACTCTAGGCGGGGCTTCCAAACAGACTACTGTGCGTAGTCACCCCGCGCCTTGGTCGGGGAAGCTTTATTATAATCCTTCTTGAAGTGACCCAAGCGGTAAAAACAGACGACGAAGAAAGGAAAGGATGACAACAACAAGAAATAAGGTAGAATAAACGAGTGAATGATTAAGATATGTGGTAATCATTTGTAGGCTCTTACAAACTTAGTGCAGCCGGCAGGATTGGCAAAATTTGGTTAACCTTTCACATAGATCCCAGTTCTCACAAAGAACTAGGGTTTCCAGCTACAGTGTTGAAGACAATATGACGACAGATATCCCAAAACACGTCAGCATGGCACACTTGATTGAGCTTTTCAAACGGAAGGCGAAGAAGTCGACCGCAGGACTTCTTAGTTCAAGATTCATGAAGGTAAACCTCCATATTTCTTAAAGGAATAGTGTTGCGGCCATCATGCCGGAGAGTATTCGAAGAGACCTCAAACACGACGATGATGATGCAAGCCCTACAAATACAATAGCAGCAAATAACCCAGCAAAATGAGCTGATTCGGGCCATTATTGCTTCGATGCAAGACAAAAAAAAAAAAAAAACATGCTTTGAGATGGTAAAGCCAGACATGTTTATGGTCATTCATCAAGCTGACAAAAGAGGGGTTTACTTTTATGAGTATGCCTCCGATAAAAACTTCGGGAACTCCAAACAGGACCCCATCAAGAACATGCGCCTCTTCTTGACCAACATCGCAAAGTGGTACGAACTTTGCCTTGTGGATGACCTGGACGCAAGCTGGAGTGATTGCACGGCAAGTTTCCTCACACCAGCTAAGAGCAACCCAATAGACTGATGGGATTGAACCATCTTCTACAAGTGTTAGTCCGGCCTGCTCCTTGAGTACTTTTTTTGAGAAAAGAAGGCTCCTGCAACTTGCCGAACCCACAAACTACTGGAGTCGGCGACGGTATCCCTGATATTGCTTGGGCTTTCATGCGAAATTCAGAAGCAAGTTCAACGTCGCAATCCCACGTCCATGGAAAACTTTCTTCAGAACTTGCAAGACATCTCCAGTAACTGCGTGGAGAGAAACTTTCTCTCTCTAGCTACACCGCCTATGACGCCAAACTCCAGTCGTGTGCAAGAGAGAGATATTCAAACTCGCATGGTAACGCAGCATATGACATCGAGCGACATGCGTCAACAAAAGGCGTACACAGGAACAGCCATGCAACTTTACGCCAGACTAGAACCTTAGCCAGAACCATGCAGTGCGCTTTACGGACTTCAAGGAGCAACAGCGAGGCTAAAAAACAAAAAAAAAAATGAAATAAAGGGTGCTCAGTCTCACCTGTAGATGCCAAATGAAACTGTGTACTTGTCTTCAAGCCTCCTACAGATAATTGTTTATATTAATGGATATGGGGTATGCGCCTTTGTCGGTAGCAGTGCTTCAGTATCAATAATTAATAAGGACCAAACAAACACTATCAGAAGCTATATAGCCAAGTAAATTCAAAAGTTATGATGGAAAAAAAAAAAAAAGTTTTATGAAGAACGGACAACAATTACTTTTGGCTTTGATAGCCAGAGTATTGAAATTGTGGCTCTGGTTATCGGTGGAGTAGACTTGGAGTTTCTACTGTCCCAGCCAGTCATGAAACTCGGCTGAAAATTAACATCTACTGGGACGGTCAAGTCACAGTCGAGAAAGTGACCAGTCGCAGATCTGCTGGCAACGAACACCTACCGGTACTCCGCCGAAGCTTATTACTTTTTCCGATGAAATTCCTAGGTTATACCCTGAATTGTTCAGCGTTGCACCTACCCTCCAGCTACTAGAAAATTCACAGTGCCCTTCAGCATCAGTGACAAGACAGTGGTGCAAAAAAAATCTCTACAACATGACCAGAGAGAAGAAGGTTTGGCTTAAGTAGGGGCTACAAAACAGGCTTGATGCAAACACCGTCCGACCCTATCTGTCTTCATTTGCGTCACCTATCACCATTGCACCCAAGAAAGATGGAACCTTCAGGATCTGCACAGACTACCGTGCTTTAAACAAGCAGATGAATCTGATTCCTTTTGCCCGTGCCACAAAGTGAAACAGTCATTGATGAAAGAGCAGGATGCCCTCACTTTTTATGCATTAACCTCTGCAAAGTATTTTTGCAGGCTCTTGTACAAGAAGGAACCGAAATGTACACAGCATTCATTACACCTTTCAATTTGTACGAGTACAATTGCTTCCCCTTTGGCTGGAGGAACTCTCCCGCGTGGTTTCAGAAGATGATGGACTGAAACTTAAAGGGCAACTCCGGCCAAAACTCAAAATGAAATAAATTACTGGTATCGCTGTAGTGACACAAAATACGACCTCAGCCAAAAAATTACGTCCGGGAGACGCCGCATTCTCAACTAATGCCGATAATAAAAATGCGACCCGCCGCAAGTTGCTGCTCCTTAGCAGGCGGGCAGCGGGTTGCCGATCGCTAAAGCAACATTGGGCCGTGACGTCAGTATCGTTCTCTTTTTTCCTCCGGTCCGGGCATTGCGCAGAGTGCGCTTCTTTGAGCCGCTACCACCGCTACTTCGGCTTGTGATTGGCGTGTTTAGCCATTGCTTTTATCTGTAGCCCGTGTAGCTTCGGTATAGCCTTTTGTTTCTTTGCTTGTGAGGACTCCAAGACTCGTTTTAGCGAGCAACTCGATACGCTCAAGACTGCCCAGCTGTACCTCGAGAGATGCCGAGTACAACTTGTAGCGCTGTGGGCAGCTCAAACAACCCGCTGCGCAACCCGGAGGTGCTTTTTCACAAGTTTCCGACGGACCGGAAATCGGAGAAGGTGTGGGTGAACGCTGTTCGATGAGGGGACTTTGGACTTTGGTTTTTACGCGCCCGAGGAAAAAAAAAAGAACAAAAAAACAGACGTGTACAGCCCAGCACATGTGTGTTTGGTGCCGCGGCCCACGCCGGAAAGCCTCAAAGCTTCGTGTCTGGGACTGACCCGCAGCGCGAAAATGAGAGGTCCCCCAGTACTGTACGTCAGTGGCAGCACAGCGTAGAGCAATGCCTCTCCATTCACGGATCCCCAATGCCAATATAGGCCTAGCAATGAGTACGGAAGACCACACGCACGGCGACAGCCGCCGAGTACGGCACCGAACAAGTTCACTCGTTTTCCAGTCGCTAGCTTTTGGGTATACAAGTGACGAGTACAGCATAGCGCATGCACGGCAGCGGCCGCCGAGTACAGCGCCCAACGAGTTCACGGGTTTTACAGTCGCCAGCTTTTGGGTATACGCACTAACTCTTGCTACATATGCTGGATAACTACCACTTATACAGAATTAAAACAAAATCAGCTTACCTTTAGACGGCTAGCGCAACAGAGGTAGGTGCCGCTCAACCTGCATACTCGTTGAACGAGAACGATCCTGACGTCACGTTCACATAGCGGCTGATTTCCACTGTTGCCCGAGCCTCTAGCGGCTTGTTTCGGTTTTTGTGGCCGCGCCCCAAATAAAACTTTGAGGCGTCGATATCTTTAAAACTATGCACAATAACGAGAAAAAAATTACACCTTGCAATTCAGGGACGCTGACTGCACTAAAAACTGTTGTAATCCCAAAATCGAAAGTATGGACCGTAGTTGCCCTTTAACTTAAGTTTGTATCTCGGAGTTTTAGGCAACGTCTACATAGACATTATCATTGTCTTTTCCAAAAGAGAGATGAAACACCAACAGCATCTATCACGGGTCTTGCCAGCACTTAGCTCCACAAGACAGAAAATTAATTTTAAGGAGAGCGAGTTCTTCCAGTCCCAGGTGGTTTCCCTCAGCCGCATCTTTAACGGCTCTTCAAGAAATACAAAAGAGGAGTCTGTGGCGTGCGTTGCACAACTGGTTAAGTCATGTGACGTACACTCGCTGTGTGTTCCTCGGTCTTGCTGGCCACCTCTGTGCATTTGTTAAAGACTACGCTCTAAAGGCAAAATGTCTCACAAGACCCACACAGAAGGATGTGAACTTTGATTGGACGGAGGAATGTGATCGAGCATGCTGTGACATGGTTCAAGCCATTTCGTTGGACCCAATCGTCTCTTTGCCAGATTTCACACTCTCGTTCTATCTAAACACTGATGCCTCGCAGTACAGGACAGGAGCAGTGCTCTACCAGTGCAATTCAAAAGACACCGCTCATAAACAACTTTGTTTGGTGGGCTACTTTGGCTATAGGCCCAACAAGTCAGAATCGAATTACCTGACAACCGAAAAAGATCCACTGGCAGTTTTAAAGGCTGTCAGGTATTTTCACTCATATTTGGAAGGTGCTACATTCAAGCCGTTCACAGACCACCAGTCTCTGA